AGAACATTAATAACAAACAGTGTGGAAACAAAATGCCATTGTAGCGCCTACTCTGCCTAATCCAAAGAAAAACAGAGTTCACTTATTTGTGCAAATAAGCAGCTGGCAGTAAAAAACTCCTGTCTCTGGGCGAAAGGTAACAGGCCTCTACGACGTGTAATGTTAGACAGCCAATCAACTGCATTATTAGATAATGGTACAGACATGCTGTGTGCTTACATGGCGCTCTGACGCTGATGAGATTTACTTCTTAGTAGGGTTGGGCCGGTAGACGATGCCATTGTCCATCTGTGATGGCTGACAGACATCACAGTGTTGAGCCGGTATGTTTTTTAGGGAGTGAAGTCTAAATGCGAGTGAACACATTCCTTTATAAGATGACCATGCTACCAACCGGTGCCGTTGTCCATCCCGATGTTTTGTTGTGGACGTCAGCCGATGGCAATTTGGTAGACCCTAATAAGAAGCAGGTTTGTCATACCCAGGAGATCTTTCGGTTATCGATTGTGATCATGCAAAGCGGGCACATGATTAGCTTGGTCAGTCAACACAGGGTTTCTCAGTCCAGCTATGAGTATGTTAACCAGATGACCGCTCGCAAACATGTACGTCTACTGGCAGCAGAGTGGCATATTTTACAGACCAAGAGCAAACTGTAATATTAGACAAATAGGAAGAAGTGAAACACATAATCCAGACTGAAAGCAACACAGCTGCAGCTGCCACATGCAGGCTGATGACATCGCTGCTAATCATTTAGGACATGCAACCAAAGGTATAATAAACTCATTCATAGTAAACTTAACTTGAATACCAAAATATATGCTCATAAGATTTAGCCTAAAAAGAAAAATTAAGCTATTTGTTTGAATGGCTGTGCCATGCCGGATGGCTGTTGTGCTAATCGACAAGGAGGTAAGCCTGGGCTGTGCTAGGTGAGGGATTCCCCTCAGGGTAAATGTAAACATTGCTGCAGTCCAGTGCTGGCAGGGACCTGGTGGTTTTTAACAGCAGAAATATGGCAGCGGATGCTTTTATGGATTGCAAGTGCCCCAAACTTGCACCTTTTGTCCATATCTTTGTTTTTCTTGAGTTGCGAGGTGATCCAAACCATCGTGGGTAGGGAAAATGAACAGCTTTTGCTGCGTCTCTGCAGGGAGTCTGGTGTGAGTAGGGATAAAACGATTACCGGTTTAATGGTAAACCATGGTAAAATTAGCGTAACCATTTTAACCATGATAACCGGGTACGGTTAACCGCGCTATTATAATCTCACAAAACTAACTCATATCAAACAAAATGGCAATTGTATTTGTAGTTTTCAGTATAAAACTTGTTGAAATGGTTTCAGTGTGTGTATCAGTACATTTTAATCTTTTTCGTTACATTTTCACAATACCGTGATAATTTTGGTCACTATAATTGTGATATGAAATTTTCATACTGTTTCATCCCATTGGTGAGAGCCGCCATCCTGCTCTGTTGTTCTGCCTTCCAGGTCACCAAACATGTCATGTGACTATAAATAGAGTTGATCTCTTATCTAGAACTCAACCAGCTCTGGAACAGGTTAGCCATTCAGACATGGCGATGTAAGAAATGCACCGCCGCTGTAGGACTGAAAACCCAGGGTTAAACCTGTAGTTGTCTCACTGATGTCAAATCCTGTTTTGTAGCACAGGACTCGGGTATCTAATAAGTTATCTTGAGGCCTCCTGCATTGTAATGCAAATTAGGGGGTGGAGCTGGTGGTGTTTCTCAGGTCAGGGGAAGTGATGGAGAATGGGCTCTACCTGTTTTTGCTGTGCAGAGGAAGGGTTCATCTGTAGCTTGTTGACACACGCCCAAATAAGCAGAAAGAGGTGGAGTTGGGTGGCCTTTCAACAAGCAGATGTCATTTCCACCTGGCAGATCACCATGTAAGCCAGACCATCTCTGGAGTCGCATGGCCGATTGAATGCAATCCGTTCTGTGTGCATTTACATGCGTTTTTGCTGTTCAAGATAAAATATCCGGACACAGGTGGGATGTTACCACCAGGTAGATATGGGGTCTTTCCGTTTGCTGATATTCTTCAGTGGCTTGACTTAATTATAGTGGCACAGGCATCGTCTCCTCAGCAGAGCTCTGTAGGTTCCAGGCATAGGGAAGTTCTGTTTTTGGCTGAAATGAGGCCAGTGTTTGTGATATGAGGACATTTTTTGCATGTGTTGAGTGTTTATTGCACTGCAGACTCCTTGCTCATCTGACTGTCATGCTGCTCTTGGCTAGCCTTTTGGCTAGACTTGACCTTTTGATGCGACTTGGAGAATTCTCATAATCGGACACAAGAGCTCCTCTATATGACTGACTGCACACCAGAGCCAGAACCTGGACCACTAATTCCAGAGAATCATTTTAGTTTAAGGCATGTACTTATTAACAGTCAAGACAATAAAATGAATTCTGCTTTCAAAAATAATATTTTAATGAATGTTTCTGCTGCAGCAACAGAAAGTTTCGCTGAAATCAAGTCCTTTCATGGACGCTGTGCGAGCACTCATCTGAACAGCTGCTCTGCTGTCTAGTGACGGAGCAGCTTACACTCCAGTACGGCAACACGCCAGGACAAACTGACACTATTTTAATATACAAAGAAAGGGATAACACCATACATTACATTTGCCGAACATACAAGAGGGGAAGTAAACAACATTTCACAACGTTTTATATAGTTTCCCCTAACTCAAAACTCATTTGATTGTGGCCAGCCTAAGACACACCTGTGCAATACACATGCTGTCTGATCAGCATCTTGAGAAAGTCTTATATCTTTGCGTTCAGCTATTAATATATTAATATTTTACTAACAGTATATTATTAAATGAGTATTGTACTTTTTATTTAAGGCTATAATATTATGAGTATATGCATTTATACTTTACTCCTCCAGGTTGTGGATAGTGCCCCTGAAGTGGCCAGGTGGTTGCTGTACGAGGGGAATGCTATGCTGTGTTTATATCGTAGGCAGTACGGCCCGTCCGTTGCAGGCTCTAAATTACTGGGTCAACACAGTTTTTGCTTGATTCTCTGAAGTTGCACAACAACAGTAAAACAAGCATTATACTTTCCGCGTCCGCGAGTACGCAAGGTTCCGCTGGGGGCCGTGTGACGAAAAAATCGACATCAGAGGGGGTACGTCCGCGCGGCAACTAGGGCTACCAGGGAAACAACCGATCTACTGTGCATGTGTGGAACGTGTCCGCGAAGCTGACTGCTAAGTAGTATAAACAGAAGTAGTCTGTAGCTGTCCGCGTCTGCCCCCGAGTATAATCGAGGCTTAAGAAACCCACAACTTGCAGGAGCCGCTGCATCACCTCACACACTGAGCCCCTCCACACTTCTTACCAGCAGTCATTGGGGTTGGATATTGTGTAAAATTTTTACGATACCAGTACTAAAACCAGTACCCTGAAAGTGATACTGATACCAATTGAGTAATTCATTCGATACCTTGCATAAAATGCCACCTGTGGTAGCCATAGTAGTTGATTGGTAGCCTATTAATATTTTTATTGTTGTTGTTATGGACAAGTAAGTTTATCTATTGTATTTTTGTCTTGTTTCAAATAACTGTAAGGCTACATTAAAAAGTATTGGGAAATTGTATCAGATTGCTCCTCATCCTAATCAGGTCATCCTTACTGGTAGTATTAGCCTATGAGGGGAAAGAGGAGGAGTGAAATAGTTTAGTGACCTAATAAGTTGAAGGAAATGGTGTGTTGAAAGGAAGCAACTGAAAATTTTGTTAACTTTCGGTCAATAAACTGAATTGAAAGATCTCTGCAAGTGCTTTTTCCTTTATTGTTGAGTCGCAAACCTCCAAAAACGGCAGTCACAAGTGTAAAACGAGAAACTAGTCATTTAACTACACTAAAGACAAACAGAAGAAAAGAGAGGCTTCATATATGGCCGACCAAACTACACCTGACACAGCCGCAGCTGCAGCCGGAGGCTCCGCCAGTGAAATCAGCTGATTGTACAAAACGTCTAATTGATGTGATGGAATGCAGCGATTGATCAGTGACAAGTCATGTGAACAGCAAATAAAAATGTACAGAGTAGTGTTAAATGATACCAGAAGATGAAACCAATGGAAAGCCAAGCTTGTGATAAACTTGCAACAGCGACGAACATGCGTGAGATCACAGCCGAAGTTATAAAAGTTATAATCACGCATGGACTCGGTGCGTGCAGGCCTTTTTTATACAGTTTATGTTGCAGGCACATCAGGGGAAAAAAGGCGGACTCCTCTATTTCTTTCGGTGTGGTGTTTGCGTTTTTGGCTGCAAGCATAACCATACAAATAGTATTTTTTTTTTCACGCAATCTGGTTGCAAAAGTATCGATTGAAGTACTGGTTTGACTGGAGACTGTTCGATTCTGGTCGATACCATAAAGGTATCGAGTAGCGATACCCTTCCCTAGCGGTCATTCATTAATACTGTACCTGTACCAAAAAAGGGGGGTGCGACCAAATCATGTGCTGTTGGTGGCACCAGTGCTACCAGTGGAAAAGTTAGTCTGGAGCTCCAGCCCCTCGGGCTTGGACCGCCTAATAAGAAACGAAACATCACAGGAGAGGGGGCAAAGGGTACATGGAGTTCAAGTGAACAATCAAAGTGGAACACTGCTACAGGCTTTGGGTAACACCCTGCCTATATATATGATTGTAACCCTAGCTTATACATCAAATCAGTTGATTGTATCACATGAAGTTAGCCTGCAATCTGGATAGAAAGCTTTCCTGGAGCTCACATTACACCAGTCCATTTATTGAGCTGGCAGGGTCCGCCTCTCCTAACAGTATGGACAGGCTTCCAATTAGAGCTGTGTGTCAGGTTGAATGGGTTCCTATCCATCTGGTTAGCCACAATCTTTTCAGTTTTGCCATTAGAGGCCAAAGGTCTGTACACTGTTATGCTCCAAAGAAATGCTGAATTTTTTTCTGTTTTTTCCAGATTATGTGTACTTTGAGAACTCCTCCAGCAACCCTTACCTGATCCGCAGAATAGAAGAACTCAACAAGGTTGGTGCTCTCTCTCTCTCTCTCTCTCCCCCCCCCCCCCCCCTTTCTTTCATATATATACACATATGTGTGTGTGTGTGTAAACCCTAACCAGGCAGTGTTTTGTCACCTCATTTATCATACACACAGAAAATTCAGATTGACTGTCCGGTGTGGTAAAATCAGATGTTGAGACACCTAAAACATGGTTCCAGTCAACATACTGTGTCTCCTGGGCACTGTTGGTAAACCATGGCTGCTGTAATGACAGGACACCGGTACAGGAGCCACTTATATAACAGCAGCAGCATATGACACAGGCTTGTTTCCCAGTCAAAGGATTAAGCTCATTTATGTAACACTCTTACATTGAAGGGCTTGTGCTGAGCACCAGGAGGACTGCATCGTCCTGAGTGCTAATGGCTGCTGAGCACAATGAATGGAAATTGAGAGAGTGGCCAGCTCTAGGCTGGAATGTGGAGGGAAGCAGTGTGTGTGTCCTGTTGCTGCTTCCACTCCTCACAATCACAGTCAGTCCAGGGAGAATGAAACCACTCATCATCTTTCAAACCTGAAGTGCTGCTATCAGGGGAGTGCCTCATCATAGCCTTCATGATAATACCAGTATAAATCTTAGAGTGATAAAAGAAATGGTCATATCATGATATAATTGTGGAGGAATTTGTTGATGACATTAACCGTCGGAGGAAAAAAAGCAGAGAGGCTACATCACAAAACAGAGGCCACGTACACCCGACCATCATCTGCTAACTTAACTGACTCTGTAAGGAAAATCTCATGACACTAGCAGAAGAAAGCAAATACTGAAACAGCAAGCTGAAGTTAGTTTGACAATCACCAACTGGCCACTCAATACGGTCTGCATGGAGTTTAAGTTAGTTCAAATTTAGGTGTCGACCAGCTGAACTCCTATTGCTAAACAAGCTCAAAAAGATGGTGACGAAATTATTTTAAGGTCACATCACCACCTCATATTATTATTCCTATGCAATATTTATTATTATACTATAAAAAGCTAGACTAGCAGTCAGGCTACAGAAAGTTGTTAAAACTTAATTATACTTTTCGATAGTACCTTCAAATACGGTGGTTTAGATAATCTGGATAAAGTGTTTACAATCTGTCTGTTCATCTGTTTCGCTCGCGCTCTCTCTCTCTCTCGCTCTCGCTCTCGCTCTCTCTCTCTCTCTCTCGCTCTCTCTCATATATATGAACACAGCAGCACAAATCTGTCCAACACAACGCTGTCAATGTCAAAAACCCAAGAGTTATTAGTTGGCATGTAAGGAGCCTAGTTAATGAGGATAGCTATGTTAACGTTAGAACACAGCTGGGTGGTCGAGGGTAGCACACTGTACATAGCCTAGCTGGTAGTGGGGCTGGACAGTTTGACCTAAAAACAAAATCACGATTGAACATTTTACCTCGATTATGATTAATGAATGATTATTTTGTTTTTGAATGTTGTTTTTGTAATGTAAATAAACCCAAATATTAAAGCTGGGTTTATTTATTTTGTTGATTCACAGATTCACAAATCCATTATTTAAATGTTAATTAATAAGATAATGTTGTCCCCTATATTCGGCTCATCGCCGCAGCTGAATTATGACAGCTGCTACTACTTTCACTAAATTATTTAATATCAATGCGGGGGGGAAAAGATTTTTACCCGCAAACTGTTTGAGCACATTAAATCACACTTTGCTATCTTCCTCTCATTCAAGGTACATGTATGTAGGAGTCACGTGACGACACGTGGTATCGTGTTTCAAGGGGAAAGTAGCATGAACACACACAATATTAACATAACTGAAATAACTCGCATGGGAAAATTGCGTCAGTTAGAGGCTCGGTTTGGATTACTTAATCCTAAATCCTAAAACTAAATTAATCGTCCAGCCCTAGCTGGTGGTCAATATCGACTTTAAGTTGCTCCTTTATCGACGCAGATATCATTTTAGTAATCAATTTATAATCTGCGTGAAGGAGTGAGATTGGCCTGTAGGAGGTGCATTTTAGCAGGTCTTTGCCCTTCTTGTAAATAGTCATAAAAATAGTATGGGCAAAAGACTATGGCAACCTTTTTTCTCTTCTGGCTTGTTGATTACCTCTGTTGGTGTCAACATAGGTGAAGGGGCAGAGAGATGAGCAGTAGCTACAAAAGCTCAGACTGTTGACAGGGGTTATCGGAGAGGTAGTTATACCAGTGCTAACTTGTAACCACTGACTCTCTACTTACAGACAGCCAATGGGAATGTGGAGGCGAAGGTGGTGTGTCTGTTCAGGAGGCGAGACATCTCAGGCAACCTCAACACCCTGGCTGACAGCAATGCAAGTGAGTAGCAAGCAGAGAGCCCAAACCTCCTCCCAGCTCCCCTCTTGTTTTCTACAGTGTGAGAGCAGGTATGATATGGCTCGCTGCCTTTAATGAACCAGTTCCACATTGTGTATCACATAAAAGCCTCAACGCACCTCTTCAGCTTTTATGTTCCAAATTGCCCCAAGGCCTCCTTCTGGGGTTAAAGTAAGACCATCGCTTCTGTCTATGGCTCAGTGCTGAATGCTAGTTTGGAAAAGGAATAGTTAATGGGGCAGCTGTGTTTATTTGTTCATTGCAGACATGTTGGGTATTAAGGTGTAGTCATAATAAAAATATATACACACACACACGTATGTATGTATGCATATGTGTATTATTTATGCCTATACTTAACCCGGTGTGTTGCTTTACCTGGTCAGTGCTTATAAAATATACCGGCTTTATACTTTCCTTACTAATAGTGTTAGTAACTCTATCTCCCAGCAGATCGACACTTTTGAATTTCAGTGTTGTAACATAACGAGCTGTCGTCAACCCGAATACTTCACCTGTCATCTGCTTTGCTCTACTCGCGTTGCTGTCTTCTTCTTGGCTCTATAAGATGCTGCTTAAAGTAAAAAAGTAAAAAATGTATTTAAAAATATTTGCTTACTATGACTTTGATTACTGCATAATCAATAAAAAAGCATTAAGTTTTGAATGTTCAATAAATGCATTAAGTTTCCTAAGTACATCAGTAATGTGTTTAATAATATTTTTTTTCCATAATGGAGCAGCAGTAGGTTATGCTGTAGATTTCAGAGTGTGGCTGGTGTATAAGGGTGGTTTGTCTGAAGTGACGTCATTCAGCTGCATTATTCTTTACAGTCATAAGCGGAGAGAGTGTGGGAGCATGGGGGCAGCTGGCCCAGGGCCCCGGCTGGGTGGGGGAGCCCCCTAAATGGCCTGCGAAGCTTATTTCAGCTGATAAAATGCGACCGAGCGAGAGGAGCTGCATGCAATTTCCTTCCAAAAAAAAGTTCAGAAATCCGCATTTTTGTTCCGTCCTCTGCCCGGCGTCAACTCACACTGGAAGTGTTTCAGAAACGTTTCAGCAGCGTTTAGCCTGCCCCACCTTAATGACTTGTTGTTTATTTGTATTTTCTTGTGCTTCTACTACGGAGTACAGCTCTCTGTGAACTGGTTTTGTTTTGTTCTTTGCACCTGCTTTGTTTCCCACATTGAGCATTTCAGAATAAGAGCGCTTTGCCTGCCTGATTTTGCTGACATGTTCAGATTTTGTTGATTTGTTGTCCTTGATTTTTGTGCTTCTACCAGAGTTAAGTAGGCTACATAGTGAAATTGTTTGTTGTTGTATTCATTGTTGATATACGTCTGTTAGAAGTTCTGAATTTAGATTACTTTTCAATTAATCGACCTACTATATGGCTGCACCGTGTACGTTCAATGTGTTCCTTAGGACATAACTAATGTAGTTAGGCGACGATGTGCGCGCCAAGAATCATGTCATCGTGTCTCTTTTGTCAAGCGCATAAGCTTCACAAGTCTCAAGGCGTCTGCCTGTAGGCTACCTCACCAGTTTCTGAGTTTAGGCCCCACTGTAGGGCTTTATGTTTCAAGATGGAGGCATTCGGAGAACATGACATTAGTTAAATAATAAAAGCAGAATACCTGGCTGTTTTGGCAACGAGTGATTTGATTTAGATTTTTCTTTTGTTGACTCACTTATTAACGTGTCTATTTTTTGAAAGGATGCAGTAGGATTGTCTGTCTGTGGCACCTACTCCACCCCCCTCCACCCCACCTTGATCCAGCCTATGAGCCCAGTCTCCGTCTTGTGTGTGATCAGAGAGCCAAGGAGGTGGGGGGTAGAGGTAGCGGGGTGGTGCTAATGGCATGCAAACTACTGAAGCCTGATCACATTCACTCATTACCCCCACCCCGACACCAACACCAGCTCCCCCACCCTCCTCCTGGGCCGCAGTGCTCCAGACAAAGACGCTATGCGCACACACACACACTACACCTCAAAATGGATGCATTAATTCAGATTTTTTTCATTGTACTGAGCAACACACACAGATGCTAAGTGTCTTCACTGGTCACATGAGGACAATTATGATTTGACTAAATGCAGTGACGTTAATTTCATTATGTGTTGTCTGCTGGCACCCTTGATTTGCTCTATTAAGGGTTTTTTTTAACTAAAACAGAAGGAGTCTCTGCCTGTATGTATGTATGTATGTATGTCCTTTTAAATGTTCTCGACAACCGCTATCTGATCGACTTCGAAGTTGTTTAGATGAGCGGTCCTTGAGAAACCTGCAAGCAGCAATACTGGAGGTCATGCAATCAGCTGCACTAGTTCTTTTAAAGAGACTGAATAGTCCACCTTCTAGACTTGGGCAGTATTACAGCATAGCAGGTATTTAGAAATCCAGACGGTATGACTTTAAGTACTGTTATAAGTACAGACGCTCCTTTCTCTATTAAACTGATGGAGATGATGTATTGTAGTGTGTGTGCCCTCAACATGTGAAACTGCCTGACATCATCTACAACACATAACCCCTTTCACTTTTCCAGCAGCTGGTAAACGGCACACACACAGGAGCTTTAGCTGCAGCCTTTATTCTCTGCTGAACTTCACTGCTCACCTTTTTCTCTGCTCCGCTGCATTTACCTACTGCTCTCGCTCGCTCGCTCACTACACTCGCCAAAAGTATGAGGTCTGCAACATGGCAAATGCACTGTTCTCACCATTACACCACCACAGACAGGTGGTTACAATCACCATGCTTTAGTTATCGATGTCAGAATTGTCAGTGATAACTAAAGCATTGTTTTGCATAGTTTACTTCTTATATCGGATCCAGTCACTGAATGCATCATCAGTCTAGTTGTTTTCAGCCCCATAGTTCATGTCGTTATGGTTTGAATTTGTAAGTTTCTTGGTTAAGAAATGTTGCATTTGTCCACTGCGTTTGCTGTATTTCTTCTAGTAAAGTCTGCCAACCAGCATCTGAAGATGACTGGCTAAAGCCCTGAATATAGTTCAAAGCGGACGTGTACACAGACAATTGCGGGAAACGCAGACTTCTGTTTGTATTACTTTCTAGAGTGAGCTGGGTGGACTCATTCAACACATGCACATTGAGATCGGTTGTTGTCCTGGTAGCGTAGTGGCCCGTGCTGTCACAAAAACACAAGAGGCACAGAGCCTACGTGTACACCCTTTTGATGACGATTTTTCGGTCACGCAGACCCTAGCAGTCTCTCACGTACTCACAGAGGCAGAAAGAATAACTCCGAAAGTCCACTGACTCCGGCTTGGCTGCGCCACGGTTTTGTCTGTCCTCTGCCCGGCGTCAACGTCCACTGGAAGCATCTCAGAAGCATTTCAGCAGTGGAGCGTGTAGCCTCTCCCCTGTTATTGACTTGTTAATTTGTCATTTTTGTGCTTCTACCACCTTCTTCACAGCTCTCTGCGACCCAGTTTTGTTCCACCGTCAGCACAGCTGCATTTCCCACAGGGAGCATTTCAGAATCAGAGCATTTTGCCTGCTTGATTTTGCTGACGTGGTCGATCTTGTTGATTTGCTAATCAGCGCTTGCTTTTTGTGCTTCTACTATGAGTAAGAAGGCTACGTAGTTAAATGATTTCTTTTTTTGTCTGATTTAACCGTGTTTATTGTTTTATGATCGAGAGTCTCCACAGGGTGTTTTATTTTGAAAGTTGACCGGATTCTCTCTGCAGTTCTGTATCTGACTTCCTGCCCGCTTTATCTGCTCTGTGTTGCTTGAAGCGGCTTCCGTCAAAAATAGATTGGCTACCTGTTCTTCGGAGTGGAGCGCCGCTAGAATGGCTGCATTTAGCTCCAGCAACCGCAGCGCAGCCGTAACGCGACGCAGGTGGAGACAATGGACTTTTTCAGTCACTTGTTTGAAAGTGGAGACAGATCCATCAGTTTGAGAGCTTGAAAGCTTCTTACTGCTAAGCAATGGGGTCCTACAGGAACTTTGTAACTGTGTTTCTAACTCTTGCTGCTCTTGCTGGTTTCAAATGGGCGGGGCTGTGTTGGAAAAAGATGATGTCACATACTACTGTCCACCAATCAGTAGTATGTAGTTTCCAGCACTGTCATTCAAATCTGATCAAACCACACCCACACGGTCACTATCAAGGAGATTGGCTGTTGTAATAACTCAAATACAAAGCTGAATGTTGCTTTTTAAGTAACATATTTCTAGAGAAATAGTTTAATTTGTTCTCAGTTGTCAGTTTTGTTTTCAGGTTCTTTGTCAGACATAACCAGTTAGAGGTTTATAATAAAAGAATATACACACAGTGCATCCACACTGGACTGTGACTAGAGTAGTGAGTGCTTTTGAAAAACTAAATGTTCTAAGTGAAAAAAGGCTTGCTTAACAAAGAAATAGCTTATTTAATGTAGTTTCAAAGTTCATCTAACCCTGTCAAAAACAAAAGTGCTGTGTGTGACTGAGTCTGCTCTGGTCTGCCTGCATGTGGCCTGTTGGGATCCTCTTAACAGTGATGAAGATGGGTCCCCATGCCTCCCGTCTGCTCATTTTCTACTAGACCTTGCTTTATCTGACTCACTTTTTTTCATCACTGCTCCCCTCCTCTTTCTGCTCCTTCTATACACACACATCAATTCTTTGCGCAGAACAAAAGGCCCTTGATCTGTCCCCGAGGACCACGTCACACAACGGGTTAATTCTGACTTGCCTTGTGTCTTTGTCAGCGCAAAGAAAATGTGTGTGTGTGTGTGTGAGTTTAACTGCTGAGGGAGTGTGTCACTGTTATGCTGTGTGCACTTAAGTGCACGTCATTTCTGTGTATGTGGTTTCTTTACATGTGTGTGTGTGCGTGCGTGCAGAGAGTTGGGGATACATGTTGGGGGGGGGATGGGCGCCTCAGGTTTGGTAGACAGGGTTTCCTACTTTGTTTGGCAGGGACTAGCCGGACAGGGGGGGTGGGGTGGGGGGGATGGGGGTTGAGAGGTTAACAGAAAAGGGGTGTGGCTTAAGGTACCGTCCCTCTCGCTCACTATCTCTGTGTGTGTGTCTCTCTCTCTCTCCCTCGCCCTCACTGACAGGGTTTCCTGTAGCTGAGTGCAGGGGCGGAGTCCATGGAGATGGAGCGATATAGTCCTTCCCCTCCAGCTTGCAACAAATTACTCATCCGCCTGAAATTAGGAATGCGCAATCTAGTGGCCAAACACACACACACACACACACACACACACAGAGCTTAATTTGTTCATATCTCTTACTGGCTGGAAACATGGGTTTCACATGTCACATGGGTTTGGTAATGTGGAGCAGTCTCATTGTTTTACAGTTAGAACATTAATAACTGTCTTTGGGCACGTGTATTGTAGTGGATGCAAAGATCCATTTACATGCATACATTTCTGGTGGAAATCTTAATTCAGCAGATCACACCACTGAGCACTCAAAACCAATTTTCTCTAACCTTATAATTTGATGACCTTCCAACTCTTATAAAGTGCTTTACAGAGGATTAGCAAAATATTAACTACTGAAGCAGGAAGTCAAAGCAAAGTAAGAAATTAACTGTGAGGACAAAAACTGTATTCGGTTGTTGCATATAAACATAGCGGCCTGAGGCCGTGTTCAGACAGACTCCAGTACTGCTTTAAAGAAGGTAGCCTCCTTTATTCATGTCAGTGAGACGACTGCTTTGGCACAGCAGGCGTCAGAAATGTTGACCCCTGCTCATCTTTTGACACAACACAATGTAGTGGCATCCTGCAGTGCACAGCGTTGGCCAATCAAATAAGAGCAAATGTGCATTCTAGATAGATTATATTATATAATTCTATAGAATGATACTGATGCTGTATATCGTCATCATATAGTACATTTTTCTGAGAAAATCTGTTAAATTATTGTGAATACAACGATCAGACAAGAATGTTTGTCTGTGTTTTGATTAATCTAGTGAATTAAATAATATTAAACTTTTTTTTAGAGACATACCAAAGTATTTCATGACATTAATGTAAAGATATCCGAAAGGTAAATTTTTATCTGCTGATCTGCTCATTAATGTGTTAACATTACCCACTATGGTCTAATGCACCTAGATAGAGTAAGAGGATAGATGCCAAAGGAGACAAATGTACGTAGGGTGTTTCCTGGCTCAGAATGAGGCGGAGGTGGTACCATCCTGATCACATGCATGCATGTGCACTGTGTGTAACTGGCTCAGGCAAATAGTTTTTACAAACGACGTATTTTAAGAGTTCTAATAATTATATAATAATTATCGCTTTAAAGCATATTTTATTTGTTCAACATTAAATCTGATACAACATAAAAGCCGATGTGTTCATTTACATGGTTAACAAACAGCTTTTCATGTTGCACTGTAGCTGATGGGAATTCCTGGATTTTTAATGGTAATGAACTTTTGTGTTCCATAAAGTGGTAAAAAGTTGTTTTTTTAAAAATTCAAAATTTATTCCCTTCTATTTCAGCAGTGTAAACAAACACACTCTGGCGTTGTAGTCCAGTCACACGTGTGGAGGTGCAGAGAGCCGCGTTTACAAACGCAGGCTGCCAATTTTAACAACATTTAAGCACCTGCATCTTTTGTCTTCTTTAGAAATTATTTTTGCTTTGTTGCAAATAAATTGACAGGTAAACTCTACCGTGCCCCACGCGCTGCCGTGCAGCCAATCAGGCGGCTCGTTTCTTCTTCTGGAAGTTTTGGCAGCATCTTTCCCGCTGCACTGTGCTGATTATGACATAGCGTCACCACGTCACGCGTGATGCTGCAACTGCAGTTACAAGCAGATATCCACAAAGTGCAGTGCTTTTTAGCAAACGCGTTTACCATGAAGACACCGTCCAAATGTGACGGAGGTGGCCTCTTCCTAATTCTTGATGCAGGAAAAACCCTGGTACGTCATCTCACGCGGTATATTGACAAATGGCCCAACACTAGTGCAACGGTGGACACAGAATGAAATGATGGTCACTGCAATAACTCTGCAGATTTGTAATATCCAGTCTGGTAGTGTTTTAAACTCCTGTGCAGTGTTCGTGGATTATTTTGCGTTATCTCACCTGTACCTGATGCAACGCTCCCCTACCAACAGCCCCTGCATTTTGTAACACAGGGCTGGCAGGCTCACAATTGACAAAATTGCCCTCTCCACACCATCACTACACACACTGGAAAACAAAGACAAACCGGCGCAGTGCAAAATTCTGGGTATTGACCAGGGCTTGGGTTTATTTGATACCTTCATTCAACCTCTTGTCACTGCCCTAACTGTAAATGTTTTATTTGGGGAAAAAAAAACGTTTTTAAACCTAGGAGGGGAAAAGGGGATTCTCAACTGTAAGTTGCAGACTGGTGTTTTAGATCTTTAAGCCTGTGTGGAGTTCTGTATGTCCTTTACCAGTTAGTGAGAGTGAATGATGTTCATCATGTCAGTAGAAAAGCAGCACTCATGCTGATGTTTATGTTTCAGGAGAATTTGAGGAGGAGTCAAAGCAACCGACACTGTCTGAACAACACAAACACCAGCTCAAACACAGAGAACTCTTCCTGTCTCGACAGTTTGAATCTCTACCTGCTACTCACATACGGTACGTGTTCACTAACTGGAGCTACTGACAGAGCTACAGTTCACTTTGAATCCAGACTGTCATGCACTGTGAGGGCTGGGGTGCTCAGGAAATGGTCTTTGCTGCAGCCATTCCCAGCTATGAAAAGTTCTGTCCCTGCACAGGCAGCCCATCCTGCTCAACTGTTAAGTGAATTTTCAAATGATGCTATAGGGACAGAGGGGCACATACATATCACATATTGTACGTAATCATGCAGGCATATTAAATAGATATCCAAGTATGATGGACTCGATCACCTCCTCATCCTAACACCACTGTGATCTTAAATTAAATATATCATATAAACATATCATTCACATTATCACTCGCATATTCACAATGAAGTTAATAGTAGATGTGATTAAAATAACAGTTGAACCATAGATGTTTGAAAATTGTGAATGCCACAGGAATTTACTCCTCCTTTCAAACTGTTATCTCAAAGTTCAACCAAAGTGTGGGTTTGTTTTTTCTAACTTGCACATAAGGCTTTTTTGTTAGTTAGCCACACGTTAGTCATATTATGCCCAGTCATTACAAATCATATGTTTCATTTTCTAACAAACCTTCTGTGGTTTAGGGCTGAACAATTAATCAAATTTTAGGGTTACGGCCTACTGCAATTGCATCTTTCTAAAATATTTGTTAAAGGTAGAATTTGTGTCAAAATACCATTTTAAATGAAATATTGTCTTGCTGAGAGGTCCCGGCCTACACATCATATTCTACAGACTTAGGAAAACATCTTTATTTGGTACGGATCCCCTGCAAAATCACATCGGTCAAAATAATCGCAGTTAGATTTAGAGTAAGAGTTTTTCAAAATCATTCATGTTGTATTGCATGTATTTGCATCGGACCTTTGAAACTTTTGAGTCTGTACATCTTTGTCTTAAGGGCCTTTCAGACACAAGGCAATTTGAGCTGCTCTCGCTGCAATGACCAATTTGCGCAATGCAGCGAAAAAGCCGTGGCGGCACAAGCCATTGGAGATGTTGGGTTTGAAAGCGCAGTGGAGTCGTTGTTACCTTGTGTCTGAAAGGGACTTGAGACTTCCTGGTCTCTTAATGCTCCTCTCCATCTCCCCAGGGGTAAATGTAACGTCACCCTCCTCAATGAAACAGACGTCTTGGCCACCTACCTGGATAAAGAGGTGAGACACCATGTGTTTTTTCATCCACACAGTTCTATTACGGCCCGTTTATTCTTGGCATTTAGATTTCACATTACAAAAGTAAACACACTTTGAACGAATTGTTTAAACAAAATGCATTTGGCAAGCAGTAATAATCTGTCGCTGTGTGTTGTGTCCAGGACTGTTTCTTCTACTCGTTGGTTTTCGACCCAGTCCAGAAGACCCTGCTGGCGGACCAGGGCGAGATCCGGGTGGGCTCTAAGTACCAAGCAGAGATCCCTGACAAGCTAGCTGAGGGTGAGCAGCACACTAAAAGTTGTTGATACCAGGCAAACAAATGTTTTTCTGAATTAAATTTTATTTATTTTTTAAAGTACAAACAGTAAAGAGTTCACCTTGCTAAGCTGAACGCACTTCCTCCATGTCTCAGGTGAATCAGACGGCCGGGTCCAGGAGAAGCTGGAGACCAAGGTGTGGGACCCCAGCAACCACCTCAAAGACCCTCAGATCGACCAGTTCCTGGTGGTGGCAAGGTAATGCTCCCCTGCCATCTGTCACCCAGTTGCATCATCATCACTAGATTCTGTTGCCATGACAACGTCAGACTCTGCCATCCGCAGGACAGCTTTTCTAGAGGAAATGCGGGAATTGGCAACAAATTTGATAATCTCTCATGGGAAAATAAATATTTCATGGTTGACATGTAACATCCGTTGTTTGCAGGAGCTTAAGATAAGATTGCAAAAGTGTAGTGTTCTGAAAGTGAGGTCAGCGGAATATCAGTGATCATGCATGTCATCCAGGATGTACAGGAGATATTCATTTCAATTCAGGGAATGTACACATTTTGTATGACGTGTGCCAAAAAGGCATTAGAATAAGCATTTAACGCTGTAGTTTGGCAACTGAACTGTGATACTACAGTTGATTGGTGGTACAGCTTTTAAAAATGAAATACTATAGTAAGTAAATACTAATGTTGTGTCTGCTTTTGGAGGGAATCATTCTGCTGCCTATACATGTCTGCATGAGTCAAACACTCCACCTAGTGGTCATTTAATAAACATTCAGCATTACACACACTAACTCATAAACAGTAGTAATATTTCCCAATTGTAAATGTAGAACAGACTGATCAGAGTGATAGTAACCAGTATCTGTTTGCTTTAGAGCTGTGGGGACATTCGCCCGGGCCCTGGACTGCAGCAGCTCCATCCGCCAACCCAGCCTACATATGAGTGCAGCTGCAGCCTCTAGAGACATCACACTGGTGAGATTATTGACTGTGTGTGTGTGTGTTTTTCCATACTATATTGATATTACCAAATGTGTCAGTAAAAACAGGTTTCTCTTCGCTGTTTTTTAAATTTGGAATTAATTCTATTCTAATTCATTCTGAAAGCAGACTTATTTGTTGTTAGTACACAACAGTACAGTTTATTACATTTTATGTGTACAGGGTGTCCGCGGGGTCTTAAAAAGTCTTAAAAAGTCGCCATTTAACAAGGTATTAAATTTTGAAGATATTTTTTTCAATATGAAAATCCTGTTTGTCCAAAAGTTTGTTTACTAAAAGTGTAGATGATTTATTTACAATGCATAGCCAAAAATACTAGACAGGCAGAGAGTAGTGACTGTGATTCCTTTCTGTAACGTATTTCACTCTTAAATGCTCCAAAAAATAGATCCGTGCGAACTGGAAAATGATTTACGAATACAATCGACCGTAATCTCCCCCCAAAACATAGGCAGTGGCGATCAGTAGTAACGGGATTAACCCGGTTGGCCGGTCGCTCTGTGGCCACTTTGAACAGCCCCGTTCCTGAAAAACAAGAGCGAGATGTGCCGCCAGCAGAGGAATCAGTAAGACAGAAGACAACAGGGAAAATTTAAGGAGCGTGTGGGTTTGGCTAACGTTAGCTGGCTATTTAGCTGAAGCTCTGCTTTTTATTGAAACAAATTCAACTTTTCATAAAGCCGATGCTCTCGTCAGTGTCACTTTTTGTGAACAAATCAGTCACAGCCTGGATGGAGTGGGATTTAAAAAAAAGCTTGATGTGCTGCAACAAACTTTATAAATGATGAACTCAGTTCTGCATAAACAGTTATGATTATTGACGAGTTAGTAGCCTGCCTAAAATCAAGGTTGGAGACTATCATGTAGCCTAGAGCATTTTTCTTGCACAAAGTTACTGAATAAAAAAACAACCCCAAACTGAAGCAGCTGTAATTTGAATTAATATTATAGCCTACTAGTGGTAAGTTATATTCTATTATATGAAATTATATTGAATATAGTAACATAATGAATATATTAATTTCAAACTTTTAGTTTACTATTAAATTAACAATATACTTTCAATTTAATGTTATACTAATACAGTCATTTAGACTAGTTCCTCCTCCAGGTTGTGCCTGTGCTACACCACCTGTACTACTTACGTTATTCATCACTCAGGTTATTCTCTCCATCTTTGTTCCCTCCTGGCCTGTTTGAATTTTGTTGTATCGATCAAGTGGACGGTGAAAGTTATCACACATATCATTGCAGGCAAGCTCACATTATCTAGTTTAAACCAGCTAAAACACAAAATCACACTGTTTCACATGATTTGCTGTAATATTGCATACATAAACATACATACAATAACCTGTGTAAGACAGTTGGTTTTCGCAGGAAATCTGAGCAGTCCTTCACATAGAAAACTGTTGGCCCATAGAGGCTGTTCTAGGCAACTGAGAAAGTTGGTGAATGCCTGTAGGTGGCATTACAACCTGATGACATATAGGCAATAAATATGTTATAAATATACTTAAATTCCTTTTAAAATCTCAAATGTCCCTTTTTAAAGGTGTGTGGCTGACTTAATTGGTTACAGCTACGCGGCAGTCTTAAATATGTTGAAAAGGTCTTGAAAAGGTATTGAATTTCACTTCAGGATTCCTGTGCATATACCCTGGCGTACGAAACTTGACCAAACCATTCACTGTGACCAATACATGATGTGTGTGTATACACTGTACATGGCGAGGTTGGTTTACCTACCAGGCAACTGCTCAGGTCCCCAGATCCCCCAAGAACTCAAAAGCCCCAGGGTCACCCTGTTATTTACCTGCTCAGAATTGAACTACTTGTTAATTATTGCAAGTACAGTATCAACCAAGGCACATCCTTAATTATTAGCTAATCTTCCACCTAGGGAAGTACAGTATTTTTATCACATCATGTTTTGTCACATAAGTCTGTCCATGTAAACACAAGTCATATACAAATGAACAAACTGTTCACTTGTGTCAGGCTACATTCTTCTCTGCTGTACCCTGCAGTGTTTACAACCAGGGAGCTCATACCCTGGGTTGCTTATTATGTTCACCTGTGAAAATACCACTTGCTGGTTGTAACTGCTGGTGTTTGAGACTGTGCACTTGCTGGTATAAGTAGATGGCGGTGCATCAGGTGATACACTGGGTCTCCCATCTGTACCGGCAGAGGCTTTCAGCTTACTTAATAGCAGCACATAACCTAGCTGTTTCGTGTCAGATTTTAAGAAGACTTAAAGCCCCATTATGACACACACAGTCTCTCACATGTTGTATACCTCCTTTATCCACAGCCTCAAAGCCTCGAAAGTAGTTAGTATGTTACTAAAGGCCAAATTATACTTCTGCGACAAATCTTCATGTAGCTTCACGCATACCTCCCCAAAAATGTTGCAGTCACACATCGCTAGAACTGTGATTGGTCGGCTTGGTAGCATTGCATTTCCGGCTGGTCTTCAACTGGTTCAAGAGTCGTACATCCCATCAAGAAACTCAGCGCAGTAGAACATAGAAAAAACAAGTCACCAGAATTTTGGCGCTGTAACTGAGTGTAGCGGGCACCAATGCACAAGTTAAAATGCTCATGACGGCATGCCAGCCCCACTAGCCTGTGTCATTTATATTTTATATATATTTTTTTAGACTAATGTGTTGTCCTCACAAAGTTGATATGAGTTGTCATGGTTGTGTTTGATCAAACTAACACACAGGAAAGCTAGGCTAGGTAGTACTACAGTATAAAAGTGCAGCTTGGTTTATAGATCTCTGTTTTTACAAACTGTCTGTGTTTAGAAGTGTGTACAGATATGTCCAGCCTCTAATGCTAATAGATGTACATGTGTTAGTATGTAGTCTAATGTCTGTGGTGATAAAGCTTTAACGTTCCAATGCTTGTGTCTACCTTTTCTCTGCTACCAGTTCCATGCTATGGACACGTTGCAGAAGAACAACTATGACCTGGCCAAAGCCATGTCCACCCTGGTTCCTCAGGGGGGTCCGGTGCTCTGCCGCGATGAGATGGAGGAGTGGAGCGCCTCAGAGGCCATGCTGTTTGAGGAGGCTCTGGAGAAATACGGCAAAGACTTCAACGACATCCGCCAGGACTTTGTAAGCCCTTCTTCTCTGCTGTCTCTTAGAGTATACCCATGGAAGCTTGATTAGCGGTACTATTCATGTAAAATTTAAATGATACACACATTTGAAACTGTGTTAACGTTGGTGTGATGTGGAATTGAACTGTCATGTATATGTCCTATATGTGGAATTCTGGTTCAGTTGATGTTTCCCTCCTCTCCCTCAGCTGCCCTGGAAGTCTCTAGCCAGTGTGGTCCAGTTCTACTACATGTGGAAGACTACTGACCGCTACATCCAACAGGTAGGTCTGCAGGAAGCGCACCATAAAACCAGCTCTGTTTGATGTGGGTTTGACTGCATGTTTCTGTCGGGCTCCTCTCTAACCCATTTTCCCATTCACTGTTGTCTTTGGTCAGAAGCGACTAAAGGCAGCAGAGGCGGACAGCAAGCTGAAGCAGGTGTACATCCCCACCTAGTAAGTATTACTGTAAACTGCTACACGCAGTACCTTCAATGAGTTAGAACTGCTGTCAGAATAACTCATTCTTCTCTCTCCTCCCCTCACCAGCACCAAACCCAACCCAAACCAGATCATGGTGCCAGGCAGCAAGCCTGGCATGAACGGGGCAGCAGGCTTTCAGAAAGGACTCAGCTGTGAGAGCTGCCACAGTAAGTACACACTCTGAAGGACTGATGTGACAGGAAAACAAGTTTAGAGAGAAAAATGGTTGTTTGTACAACATGGTCCAACAATAAAACACAGCAAATGTAATTGCAATTGATAAAAAGCCAACGTAAAAACTACGATGACCCAGCTAAATTAGCACTTTTGCAGTCTCTGGTGCACATAATAATACCAGAAGACCTGCATCATACGTTCAAATCTCTCACGCTTGACCATGTGTATTTTCTGGTTTCCCTCTCTGTTCTTCCTGTAATTATTTTAAAGCAGAAATAGGATTTCTCTGCACTATTCCATTATAGTTGATGGAAGACTGTCAGGTGAATAGAGGATGTTCACCTGGGCAGAAACATGTATAAAGGTCACGAGGTAGTCTACTGAACTTTAAATACTCACAGGTACATTCAGTAGTTGCGTCCTCTCTAAAGTCTCTATTGACTGTGATAGCACAGCCTGTATAACGTTGCTGCGGACACTGGTGTCATTCTAGACTTCATCTGTAAACCACGGCAACTCTGAGTGGAAAGTTTTAAGAGCAGAAGTAGTCTACGTCTGTTGAGATACCCTTCTTTAACACTGTTTCTCCCCTCGCTAACCCAGCGGCCCAGTCGCCTCAGTGGTATGCCTGGGGGCCTCCCAACATGCAGTGCAGGCTGTGCGCCTCCTGCTGGATCTACTGGAAGAAGTATGGAGGCCTGAAGACCCCCACACAGCTAGAGGGCGCTGCAAGAGCTGGCTCTGTAAGTCTTCTTTCTTACAGTCTTCTCTCCCCTTAAAGGTGCAGTCAGGGATTCTAATCCAGCACACATTTTGTCAAATTCAGCGAGTGTCTCCTCACCGTCTGCTAGCTGTCCGTTCTGAGTGTGTGCAACAATCTGGTGTTTGTACACAGACCTGGCTCTGTAAATGCACAACTAACAAATGGCGTTCTTCCTTTGCTGGTACCAGCTCAACTCGACTCTACTTGCTTTTGGCCCGCGGTCCTCCGTTTGCCATTGCAGATAGTACCCCATCAGTGTAGTTGGTCAACGCCTTACAATTGCCCGCATTTGTGGAGCTTCGGAACTTTGAGCACATTTTCCATCCACCATCACTTTTAGTAAAACTGCCAATATTCGATATCTACACAGTTGATTTCTTGCCTCAAAACTTCTCATTAGAGGATTTAGTGATAAAATAGAATACGAAAATTGTAAAATGTAAAACACTAGCGCGCATGTTGATGCAGTGAATCGAGTTGGTGCCATGTGGTGGAAAAGGGGTTGGACCGAGCCACAACCAGTCGTCAACAGGAGGTGCTCGTTCTCGGCTACTCTCCCTCTTCCACATCCCCGCCCCCAAAGAACCATGACAGTAATGAAACGTAAATAACATTGAAGACCAACTTTGGATACAAATATTTACTTGCTACAGCAGACCACACATTCTTTTCCTGGGAATTACACATCTTCCCCTGTGTAACGTCACTCATCCCACTTGCTCTTCTGTGGAAATACACTGTAGTAAGAAAGAAATCTCAATGACATCAGAGGTATAACCCTGCCATGTTGTTTCCTTTTTTGTTCACCCTAATGGTGTTGTTTAACAGACAATACAGTATGAGTTACTGTTGAAGTTACTATAGTGATAATGTTATCAATAGGCTATGCTACTCCTCGTCTTAGACGTTGTCTTCAAAACCTATTTAAATATTTTCAGGCTTTTCACAGTGGCTCCAGTACTACAAAAAAACATTCCAACAGTATTTTTTTGCCATTAAAATTTCTTCCCCTTATTGATCCCAACTTAACCTTGAGTAACAGATGCTCAGGATTCCACCATATTTCTTATGTTGTCAGTGTTTCTGCTTTGGCAATGCTTGTTCATGAATTTGGGAGGACGGAGCTTCTCTAGGAGCACCGAGGGGAGGGGTGTATATGTAAGGCTGTTGACTTAGACTTTATATTTAAACAAGAAACAAGCTGATCAAACATTGTTTGCATCCTCATGGTGCCCCTTCTACTGCTTTGTCCAGGAGGCAGGCCCCCGCGGTCACATGACACGCCAGGAGGTCCAGGGTATGTCGCCATTCACCCGCAACGAGGGTCGAGCCAAGCTGCTGGCCAAGAACCGGCAGACATTCATCCTGCAGACCACCAAGCTGACCCGCGTAGCTCGGCGGGTTTGTGAGGACATCCTGCAGCCTCGCCGTGCCGCACGGCGGCCCTACGCCTCCATCAATGCCAACGCTGTCAAGGCTGAGTGTATGTACACACACGCACATCAATACTCCTGAATTAAGTCTTTACAGCTTGTTTTTAAACTACTAACAAGTTAATGTACAGGATGTCCAGTCAGTATCACATATTCTGCCATGTATTCATGCTTTTGTGTAGTGCAGTGTAAATTAGATAAGCAGATTAATGTAAACTACATTGTACATTGGTTCACATGTTTAATTTGACATGTCTGCTTCAGGTATCATCAGGCTGCCCAAAGCCACAAAAACACCCATAAAGAGCAAGTTGGTGCCTCGACAGTCATTGGCCACCATAGTGAAGGATTTAGGTAAGAACATCACTTGTCGGCAGGTCTCCTTAGCTGCTGTATGTTCCTCACCTGGCCTTTCTCCACTATAATTGGAGTGTTGTTGTGTTTCTGCAGCCATCTCAGCTCCTCTGAAACTGAAGGCTTCGAGAGGACCCCCGACACCCATCAACAGGAATCAGGCCAGCCAGCCCCGTGTGGGCCAAAGCCTGCTGGGAAAAAGAGTTTTTGACAGCGTCCGTATTCCACACACACACACACACACACACACACACACACACACACACACACACCATGCACTGTGTTGTCAGCACTGTTGACTTATCATTTGATCATTTGGCTTCATGGGACAGCTGTTAGTTTTACAGACAAGAAATATGGGGCGAGAGATTACATTAGGGGTGTGCATCTTTACTGGTCTCACGATTCGATTATGATTATTAGGTCAGCGATTCGATATCTCGAATTTCTAGGCAACTCAATACGATTATGAGGCTACGATGGTACAATTCAAAGTAGTAGGTAGTAATGAAATGCAGATATTTAATGTTACTTCATATAAATGTAGCTAACATTGCATAGCATTACTACATTATTACAGCGTTATTACTGACCTCTGCTGCTGCTATTTTTATTTATGAGGCTGCTGTTATTAGTATAGAGTCAGATACTACACACTTTACAACACTCCAGCCAAACCACATTCACTCCACCTTAATGTATCCGTTTCTTTTTTTGTCTGGTATAGTGTAGTAATGAGCTGATTCTTGTAATCTTGTATTGAGCCCCATGGGCCTTGAGAAACAGCATTTCAGTCATTTGTGAATTCAGTATGTGGATGAATGACAACAAACCAACTTTACAGCAGCCAGATAACGTCCTGCTGAAGAGGAGATGTTAGCTAACGCTAACTGGCTTTCTAGTAATTGGAAAACAACAGACTTAACGGACTGTACATTTACTGCCAGACTGAAGAGTAGCGCTCATGTTTTCCTCTGCTCTGCTCGTTTTCACCATCACCTACTGCCGCCTGTCACGTAGCTGTCCTATGAAGGATGAGCAGAGGACGTTATCAATTGACATCTAGATAATCGATTATTGACATTGTTAATCGATTCATAATCACCCGCATCACAATGCATCTAAGAATCACCTGCAGCGATCAAACCGTGTCGTCGCATCACTTCCAAGAGCCTTTATTGCTGGCAATGCCTTTACATAGACCTGAGTCACAGTATACCAGCCGAGTATGCTGGTCATGTGGTGTCCCTAAGATGTGGAACTTTTTGCTCCCTTCAGCCTAAAAGAAACCAGTCAAATCTTCTTAAATAACACATTTTCAACTATCCTGATGACCACACTCATTCTGGTCTTTCATTGGTTCACAGGCTGCAGGGGTGCCCTACCCAGCCAATGGGAGGCCGTATACTTCAGGTATGAGGACCACCTCTCAGTCGGTCATCAAGCGTCAGAAGGTCAGCCAGGGAGAAGCACCCAACCCTGTGGTGTTTGTGGCTACAAAGGACACCAGGTACATTTCACTGTCTGAGTCCTGTCATTAAAATGTCTTCATCTTAAAGATGAAGAATCACCACTGTAGTAGCAGCACCTACAACACAGACTGATGGCCTACCTCATCCAAGCTCACAGGGTGATATTTGAATGGAAGTTCAGGAACATTCAGACAGAGCTAACGTCACCGTCGGCCATGGCTAGTCTATTAGCTGTTTATGCAAACTACTACTACACTGCTGAGTACAATGGGAACAGCAGATTGGAGGAAGGAAGTGGTGAAAGGTCTCATCAGTGTTTTTGGGAAGACTAGTGCAGTAAACAGGGTTGAGGCCCACTTGCTAGCTGGCCTAACTTGCGCAGCCAAATACTGCAAAGAATTTTTTTTATTCTATAGTGGGAATAAAGATCAAGATGTGAAGTACATGAAGTAGTATTATGATACATTTCTTAAATTGTAATGGGGGAAAAAAAGAGAACCAGCGAACAAGTGGTTAATAAAAATAATTTAACAATTAATGATTTGTGATTTAGCTGACCCTTTTATCCAAAGCAACTTACAATTGAAATATGAGAGAGAGAGAGAGAGAGAGAGAGAAAATATGCCGGTCGGTCGGATTAAACACTTGATTCCAAACAGTGGATCACTTAACAAATCTGAGGAAAAACGGTCAAAACAATTATTTAAAAAAATAATAAAATAACAGAATCTTTTTACAGTCCCTTTTCCTCACCAAAATACATTTAATAGAAAAATTAAGTGCTGATTTGTTTGTGATTCAAATTAATTAAATCAAACATTTATTGAACATTTGATTTATTGTTTATTTATTATGGAAAATTATATCACGATAATTATCATTATTGTTTTATATGACCAGTCCTAGTTGTAACACCCAATCTTCTTTAGTCTTGAGCAGGAAAGTACATTCTTGACCACAGAAACAGGAGTTATTTTTGACATTATTTTGTCAAACTTCGTCTTGTAGCAGTGGATGAAATGGAACTTACCATAGGAGTGAAAAAACGTAGTATTGGACTAGAGTGGGCCTTTTTTAAATCATGTTCTGTTGCTCTTTTTCAACCAGGGCTCTGAGGAAACATCTGACCCAGTCAGAGATGCGTCGGGCAGCGAGGAAACCTCATCTCCTCGTCCGGATCAAGCTGCCACCGCCCCCCCGCTCGCTGGCCATGCCCCTGCTTCCTTCCAGCACCAGCGAACCAATCGTCCTGGAGGACTGAAGGGGAGGGACTGGGGGGTCTTTTAACGGGACATGGGGGTTGGGTGGGAGTTGGGGAGGGTCTGTGCTTGGGCCGTCACCTAACAGGCAGCACAGTACGCCATACCAGTAGTCTTTTATTTTCCCTCTTTTCAGCGTCATTTTTCTTTAGTCCTCTGTTGCTTCCCAAAAGTTGTCCAACTCACACACACACACACACACACACACACACACACACAAGCACTTAGATGACTGTACATTTCTATCATATTGAACACACACTGGCACTCACACAACAGTGTTGGGCTTTGTAGTATTTTATTCCAGATCCTGAATTATTTTGCTCCCCTTTTCAATACCACCTGTGTTTAAATGTGTAATTTAAATCAAGATATCTCTCATCCTGAAACAATGGTGATAAAGCACACTTTGTTTTTCCTCTACGTCTCAGTTTTGTGTAAATATATACATCATTAAAGGGGTGAGACCCACAGTATGTGAGGTGAATGGTGGTAGAGAGATGGAAATGGGAGACTCTGGGACAGCTGTAGCAGGCTGAAGGAAGATTTCACTCATACACTCTTCTATTGAGAAATGTCCTCAGTCAGTGTGAACACCGTGTTTAATCCACCTACATCCCTTTTACTTTTCTCTCCGAGTCTGTAACTTGTCAGCTTTTTCTGTCTTCGGTCAGGAGCCAAACACAAGCCGGTTGGAGTGTTTAATAAATTCTGACAGGCCCTAGAGGTTCACCCAATCTGTACCGCTTATTATTTTACATACTATGGACGTCCACCAGTGTCAAAAATATTTGGTGAGCACAAAACAACTTGAGCAGTGTGAAAGTCCAGGTTTTAAAGTGTGCAGAGACAGGTGTGCAAGTACAGAACAAAGCTGTAGACAAAAGTGAAGATGGAATGTAGAGTGTAATTTAATGTTTTGAGTTGGCAAAGGATTGTACTATATTTAAACAAGCAGTAGGGCTTTGTTTGCCCATTAGTGTCACACAGTCATTAGACACTAAAAGTGACACCCTGTTACACCATGCCTTCTTAGAAATAATTTCAGTTTCCTTTTATTGTCATTTTATTTATTAAAAATGCCCATCGCAGTTCAAGCCCAAGGGGGACTTCTTCAATTGCTTGTTTTGACCAGCCGATAGTCCAAAACGCAGATCAGTTTACTATGACTTAAATAATTTAAATGAGTAATCAGTCCTCAAAACTGTTTAAGTCAGCTGAAGTAAATATGGGCATAACAGCTACACGGGTTATATTAAGTTGTTTAACTTTTCTCTTGCTTTCAGAATCTACCCAAACGTGTAAATTAGAGTAAATTTAAAACTGAGTGTGCACAAATTCAGGATTTTGGTGTCTTTACTGATCCCGGTCTGTCTACTTCTAACTAATCCTGGCAACCTTAAATAGTTGATACAATTCAGAATCTACCCAGACAGGTGGAACACACCTTATCTGACATACTTATCTTGACATAACTGCTTACATTTGTTTTATGCTCACTTGATAATTTTGTTACTAATAACCCTCCATAGAGCGAGCGAGAGTTGCTGTTGCAGTCAAGCCACATTTGTCTTTTGTCTGCTGACAGTTGATCACCAAGCAGTTTGAACAGGCAGTCTGGACTCAAGGGGGACAGGATTATTTCTCAAAGAAGTCTGGAGGTTTACAGTGTAGGAGGGATCATATGGAGTATTTGAGGAAATTCAAATAATTGTGCTTACCATGGATTTACACAAGTTACTGTGTGACTTGCCATGATGAAAGAACACATTTGGCTTTGAGGTACTGTTTTGAGTCTGCAAATGTCCAAAATAAAGCCATAATGTAAAAAAAAAAATAGAAAAGGTTGACGTCCACTGTGAGTGGACACTTTAACCCTGAAGTAAGGGTAGACTAAAGCCTCAGCATTTCTGACAATGTAGAGTTTAGTTGGTTTGAAATGAAACTGACGCAATTATGTTACTGGTCAGTTAATAGTCTGTTAATAAAGCAGCAATATGTAAATGTACGAAAGACAATTAGGGCCAAAAAAAAGTACTGAAATTAATGTTCAAAATTGCAAAATGACTTAAATTAAAGTTGTAGTTTTCCTCCAAATATTGACTCATTGTGAAACGTTTTCATATGGCCTTAATCCTCTGTAAATGTCTGATGCAGAACAGATGTGACGTTTATGATGATTGGGTATAACGATGTGAAAGAAATCTTCAGCTGTTTCAACTTTTGCTTTATTTAATTCCTCCTGTTTGTACCATTATGAAAGGGTGAGTACTAAAAGTAAGTTGTTAATTGGATAATTATAATTCCTCTGTACCTTCAGCCTGTGAAACCCCACAGCAGCAAGTGACTACACTGGTTTTATAAGCAATTTGGTCCCAATGTGGGCTTTGTAACATTTCTCAAAAAAAGAAATTGAAGTGTTGAGTTTGTAGCAAATACTAATCTGTGTAAAGAAAAGTGGAAAAGTGGCATATTTTAAGCTTTTATTTTTTTCTTTTTTACATCTAAAGTGTGTAATTCTGCTCCAGTATGGTGGAGATGGCTCTAATAGGCTACTGTACATGTATAACATTGCTCTCCTTCATAGGGTGGGTGGGCTGGTCATTTGAACCAGGGGCGACATTCAAAAGGGATTGGGTGCTGATTTTTGTATGATGGAGAGACAAACATGCTACAATTGAAACTTTTTCTCAAGTGTTTTTTATTCCAATGTCTCTGTATCCTTTAATGTATCTTGATAAGAAAAGAAATAAAGATTTTTCTTTCTTCGTGGTCAGTCATAGACTCTTTCTCAATTGTGTTTCTATTGGTGTTCATCAGATTGCTGCAATAGAGGAAACTGAGCTCAGATCCTCAGTAGGGCTGGGTATCAAAAACTTTAATACGCCTTTAGTGCCAATAAAATGTTTCTTGTCTCGCTAGTATCCAAAACTGCCAGATAAGGAAAGTTGGCAACAAATGCTGGTCAATTTCTTCATCTTGTTTGTTTTTATATTTCCTAAATTAAATAAGAATTCTACAATAGAGTAATAATTGTAGACTTTAATTCATGCAAAGTTCTTGTACAGCAGCATAGTTTTAAGACGAAATTAAAAACATGAATTTGAGAAGGGGCTTTGTTTAAAAAAAAAAAAAAAAAAGTGAGGTATTTTTGGCAAGATTAGGGATTGTATTTTCACCGGTATGAAAAACTATTGATCCTGTTGACAACATTTCTGAAGGTTTAAGCATTTGAGTGACCTGAACTACAAAGTTACTATGTTGAAATGTTAGTGGAATTAAGGTTAAATACATTTTTTTAAATTTAACACTTATACAAAATTTACAGGTGCTGGTCATATAATTAGAATATCATCAAAAAGTTGTAAGTGAAACTTGGATATTATATTCATTCATTACACACAGACTGATATATTTCAAATGTTTATTTCATTTAATTGTGATGATTAAAACTGACAACTAATGAAAATCCCAAATTCAGTATGAAAATTAGAATATTACTTAAGACCAATACAAAAAAAGGATTTTTAGAAATGTTGGCCAACTGAAAAGTATGAACATGAAAAGTAACAGCATGTACAGCACTCAATACTTAGTTGGGGCTCCTTTTGCGTGAATTACTGCAGCAATGCGGCGTGGCATGGAGTCCATCAGTCTGTGGCACTGCTCAGGTGTTATGAGAGCCCAGGTTGCTCTGATAGTGGCCTTCAGCTCTTCTGCATTGTTGGGTCTGGCGTATCGCATCTTCCTCTTCACAATACCCCATAGATTTTCTATAGGGTTCAGGTCAGGCCAGTTTGCTGGCCAATTAAGAACAGGGATACCATGTTCCTTAAACCAGGTACTGGTAGCTTTGGCACTGTGTGCAGGTGCCAAGTCCTGTTGGAAAATGAAATCTACATCTCCATAAAGTTGGTCAGCAGCAGGAAGCATGAAGTGCTCTAAAACTTCCTGGTAGACGGCTGCGTTGACCTTGGACCTCAGAAAACACAGTGGACCAACACCAGCAGATGACATGGCACCCCGAACCATCACTGACTGTGGAAACTTTACACTGGACTTCAAGCAACGTGGATTCTGTGCCTCTCCTCTCTTCCTCCAGACTCTGGGACCTTGATTTCCAAAGGAAATGCAAAATTTACTTTCATCAGAGAACATAACTTTGGAGCACTCAGCAGCAGTCCAGTCCTTTTTGTCTTTAGCCCAGGCGAGACGCTTCTGACGCTGTGTCTTGTTCAAGAGTGTCTTGACACAAGGAATGCGACAGCTGAAACCCATGTCTTGCATACGTCTGTGCGTGGTGGTTCTTGAAGCACTGACTCCAGCTGCAGTCCACTCTTTGTGAATCTCCCCCACATTTTTGAATGGCTTTTGTTTCACAATCCTCTCCAGGGTGTGGTTATCCCTATTGCTTGTACACTTTTTTACTTTTTTTCTACCACATCTTTTCCTTCCCTTGGCCTCTCTATTAATGTGCTTGGACACAGAGCTCTGTGAGCCAGCCTCTTTAGCAATGACCTTCTGTGTCTTGCCCTCCTTGTGCAAGGTGTCAATGGTCGTCTTCTGGACAGTTGTCAAGTCAGCAGTCTTCCCCATGATTGTGTAGCCTACAGAACCAGACTGAGAGACCATTTAAAGGCCTTTGCAGGTGTTTTGAGTTAATTAGCTGATTAGAGTGTGGCACCAGGTGTCTTCAATATTGAACCTTTTCACAATATTCTAATTTTCTGCGATACTGAATTTGGGGTTTTCATTAGTTGTCAGTTATAATCATCAAAATTAAAAGGAATGAACACTTGAAATATATCAGTCTGTGTGGAATGAATGTATACATTATACAAGTTTCACTTTTTGAATGGAATTACAGAAATAAATCAACTTTTTGATGATATTCTAATGAGCCTATAGAGGGTATGCGTTGATGTCACTTACCCTTCCGGAACACTCTGGACTGAGTGGCAAAACATCTGTTACCATGGCTGCGTTTAGCAAACTGGGAGTAAAACAAGTGATTATTTGCTCAAAGGCAGTCGGACTCGACAGTGATCCTAACTGCTTACCAAAGAACCAGTGGTCCAGCTCCCATTTTAGATGTGTTGTTCGTGTTTTAGCTGATTCAAGCTAACACTGCTGCTCGTCTTTTTGCCACTCAGTGATGGTAACTGCGTTCTGTGACATCATGCGCATACCCTCTATAGAGCCTGTGGCCCTGCGATGGACTGGCGACCTGTCCAGGGTGTACCCCTTCTTTCGCCCGATGTCAGCTGGGATTGGCTCCAGCCCCCCGCGACCCTGTACGCAGGATAAGCCGTTGATGATGGATGGAGCCTATAGATGAGCCTAGAGGAATAAACCAGCAGAGGGAAGCAGTATTAAAGGTTTTTTTAGCCACACAGGGCAGTGGAGATGGCTGAAAGCACAATATTGACATTATTGACTTATAATGTAAATGTTATATATAATGTTGTATCATGGCATATGTTTTATGAAACTAACAGCAACATTAAGATTCATTTCATGATCCTGTTCAGTAAATGAGTCCAATATTCACTCTCCTTTTAGCTCTGGTTTGGTCTCCACCAAACAAAGACAAATATCTGGCTCTTTTAATTTCAATTTCAAAACACTTCATTTATCCTCGAGGGGCAATTGCAGTGGCCCGTAAAGTGGTACAATTTACAATTCAAAACATTTATCATAATAAACGTAGCATAATAGATACACACACATACATCATCCAGTGCAATGTCACTGAAGCTGCTTAACACTCCATGATGTTCACCAGCTAGTTGCTAACTTGTGTGTCTGCTGCTTGGTGCTGGGCAGGTGGTGTGCAGTGGGTTTTGCAGAGCTATCTCAGTGAAAACAGCTGCCTGCTTCTGGACAGGGTTGACAGGAGTGGAGTTGGCTAATAGAGGCTAAAAGGCTCTGTAAAGCTGAGAGAACTGCAGAGTTGGTGGATTTATCACTATGAGGAAAACCTTTCCACAGTATGGTACAACATTTTAATCAACCTGCAGTATAAACAATTTTCACACCACTTTTTCATGTTTTCTTTTACAGCCATGCACACAGTTGATTAGGGGAAGGCCTAAAAAACTGTTCAATATCATCATATTATATATATATATCATCAATATTGAGAGAGGCCACAGTCTGATAGAGCAACAGGAAGACAGTCTCTGCTTTATAGCTTTTGGAAAAACACATCTGGGCAAGAAGGCATCCTGGTGGAAAACCTGCAGCAGTCTGACAGAGAATTGCCACTGGGGAAAAGATTATTGAATCTTTCAGCGAGAGGGATGGCTTTGAAACAAAGTTAATGTCCATAAGTGAGCTGAAGTGAAGTTCAAATCTGAATGAACCTTGACAGAGCTTGAACAGCTTTGTAAAGGTAAAAAAAACAACTAAATTGAAGGACATGTCTATACTAGTTTTATACGTGTACTTTATCAATTTGTAGAGATGTATTTCACCCTGACATTTATATTTATATATATATCCACTGATTTAAAATAGCTTAACAACAGACACTTTTATGGGGGGATAAATACTTCATATGAACACTGGAATGATTTTGGTGTCTGCTCTGGGCCTGACCAGGGAAAAGCTTAAACAAAGATTAGCCTAACTGTTAATAGCTAAAGGAAATATTTTTCCTCAGCTGTGTTCCCATCAGACGGCTTTTAATTAGAAGGTTTGTTTTAACCACAACCACTTCCTACTGAGGTGTTAATTTTGACAAATCTGTAATGACATTTAACAGTGTATTCCCATATGTGTTGATTGAGCACTTTGACAAAGATCTGCTTGCCGATTAGCCATTTCACTTTGAAAGGACTGGAAAGAAAAAAGCTTGATAAATTAAATGAAAGTAGCCTACATGAATAAAACAATTAGACCAGTATCGTCTCACATACAACCCTGGATTTTAGCAGACACAGAAATACAGCTGGATTCAGCCTTCTGCAAGGACCATGACGCTGATATTAGCAGAGCTGCTAAACGGATTGGTCCGTAAATCAATCGCGTGGACGTGATTGGTCGCTGGAGACACTTGACACTTGTGACGTTGAGCGTGAGCACACCTGATGCTCATTTTAACCGAGAGGCGGGAGGCGCGAGCCGGTTTAAAAGGCAAGTGGAGAGCAGCGGTTCCGTGCTCGTGACTCCAGGACCAAGCAGGAGCGTTTGGGTCCTTGCCATTACACACAGTTTCTCTTCGGTTACACAGAGCGCTTAAGAGGCTGTTTCTGCCAGGGCCGACCTCCCAACTCATCACAAGCAACTCGACTTCTGTTTGCAGCCATGTTAGAGGTAAGTCAAAACATTTCAGAGTTTGTGTTGCTGCAGTTTTTACTGAGTAAGTCACTGAACATTTAACAAGCCATAGTACGGATGAATTTATTCATCTAAATGGAAAGTAAAACTAATTCACTTAAGATGGTTAACACTGACATGAGAGCTGTTTAAAATTCTTCATAATTCACTACTCTTAACACATGTTAAGTTATTCTACAGTGAGTACTAAGATTTGGACACGTGAACAATTTGTCTTCACTTAACTATCAGTCACATAAAGGTAACTTATGCACACATGACGCACTACATTGTGATTGTTGGTAGAAAGTAGTACAAGCTATGGGCACTGCTAGATTTGTTCCATTGTGTAATTTGAGGGAGCTATACATGCACAACTGAATACAGACTGAAACTTAACCTTTACATCTCAAGTTGAAGAAACTCTTGCTCGGAGAGCAGCAAGGGGCCAATGCAGAACTTCTTCTACCGTGGTCGTCTGATCTCTTTCAGATCAGCAGTGATGACTTGTTCCTGCCTTCCTACCAAGATGAGGAGCTGGTGGACAACCTGCTGTCCAGTCAGTCAGATGGAGACTGTAATGGTGAAGGACTCTCCCTGGCAAACGCCCTGCTCCCCCTGGCAGACTCCTCCTCCCCTCCCCTCATCCCCTGGGTCTGCTCCACCCGCTACAAGACTGAGCTCTGCACCACCTACTCGGCTACTGGCTTCTGCAAGTACGCCGAGCGCTGCCAGTTCGCCCATGGTCTACATGAGCTCCATGTTCCCTTCCGCCATCCTAAGTACAAGACTGAGTTGTGTCGCAGCTATCATACAACCGGTTACTGCTACTACGGCAGCCGTTGCTTGTTCGTCCACAACCCCAGTGAGCAGCGCCCTGCCCTGCGCCGCCGCAGGAATGTCCCCTGTCGCACCTTTCGCTCCTTTGGAGTCTGCCCCTTTGGTACCCGCTGTAACTTTCTGCATGTCGAGGGCAGAGATGTCGGCAGCGGTCTGGAGTCGGCTGATGTGGACAAGCCGCCGCCTCCTGTTGCCAGTCCGCAGCTCCGACCACAGACAAAGGAGTGGAAGCCACGCGGAGCTCTGTGCCGCACCTTCAGCTCATTTGGTTTCTGCCTGTACGGCACACGCTGCCGCTTCCAGCACGGCCTCCCCAGCAAGATCAAAACCTCTGACCAAACCCAACAAGGGCCCTTCTACCCTCAGCTGTTCCCTGGCAGTTCTGGTTTACCTTCCCCCACCTCGCCTTTCCCTTCCATCTCACCCAACTCTTCCACTGCATCTTCTCCTCCATCAACCTCTCCTCTCGCCACGCCGCCTGCAGAGGCCACGGCCCACAATGCCTTCACCTTCTCCAGTCAGCACTTGAGCAACCTGCTGCTGCCACTGGCCCTCCACCTGCAGCAGCTGGAGAGCAGCAAGGGCCAGGAGATCTGGGACAACAGAGCACTCTAACTAGAATAGGCACAGAACAGCACAATTAATCTTTCTTTTTTAACTTCTCTGTCATTATGTTTCTGGCTTTTTTTAATATATTTTTAATTGAGGTTTGACTTGACAGCTTGTGTCTGCAGGCCTTGAACTATAATGAATCAGGCAGTCAATAGTTGTGGCCCATGGTTTCGACTCACCAGACGTAGCTATGAGTGTAATTTAATTTTTTAACTATTGTAAATATTAATGAACTGTATGAAATGTCTGACCACAACATCATGAATAAACTAATTTTAATCTTTAACCTTTTTGTAGTTTAAGTAGGCTTTATTGGTTTTCACATGTCAAAACTTGAAATGTGACTAAATGCAGCTGGCATAGACTGTGGCAAAGATTTTCAACAAAGTGAAAACAAGGATTGAAAATTGGCTGCATAATGTGCAAGGACCCAATAACTCATATTTTAGACAAGTCCAACTTTTGGTCCTTGTTTCAATAAGAAGGCTTTGGTATACAAAGCTAGCTCACAAAAATGTCTTGTTTGTGAAAGAACTTGACCAAACAGCCACATAATCACACTGGACCTCACAAATTATCTTGTCCCAAATCCCTGCAGCCAGGTTCCTAGATGTGGCAGCTTGAATAGTCTGGAAAGTAAGATGCCGGACTCAAGTTCAGAACGGGTTGCACACATCTCCAAATAAACATTCTGCTCAGATTTTATAGGAATGTCAAGCATTGAACCCAAACTATGTGGAGGCTTGAGACTAATATGGCAAAGTAAGGATATTGAAGACTTGTGGCAGGATATTATCTCAAATGTGGGAAGGGATGCAAGGAACAAACTCACCCATAATTTTACATGGGCATTACTTTACACCTAATGCATTAAGAATGGACTTGACCCAGGACAATAAATGCAGAAAGTAATAACTGTCCCATGGTAATGCCTATTTGGAAGGCAGTACTGGAAAGGTGACTCAGACCACCCCTGCCAGAATCTCCTCAGCTCTGTTAGCAGATAAATCTAATGCCGCCAGGCCTTGCTAAAACCAAAGCTGGGCTGATGGATGACGACAGAATGGGTTAAATGTCTGGCATAGCTGCATTTGAACTTATAAGCAGGGCGCAGAACATCCCAAGCAAAAATAGCCAAGTGTGGCTTTATTTTGACTACAGCATAGATACAAACTCTTAGAGGCGATGCAGGGTATAAGTAGAAGTTGGGTACATGTGTGGATGTATACATTAATACATAGGTTTATATACCTGTATAGAAACGTGCATGTATGGGGGGGTGCCCTGCTGGTTTCTTGTAGCTGCCTTCGATGTTGTTTTTCTGTTTTGTTTTTGTTTTCAAATGTGAGATCTTGTATCACATAACCATCATTTCTGTATGTAGAGTAATAAAATTCTTAATGACATAAAATTAGGGTGCCAGCAGTGATCAAACTATTTCTTACATTTCATTTTTTTAGGCGGTGGTAGACCCATAACGTCCCTCAGTTCCAGAGGGCCATCGGCCTGTGTCTGATATCATATCCGTATCTCCCAATGCTCTTCAATCGACCAATCACTGACCTTCACCTCCTGGCGCCTCACTAGGAAAATGTCAACATCCTGTGGTCAACATGTAGCCAGCTGGCTTAACAGTCAAGTTAGCCAGAATTAAACCGGATGTTACGCGTTTTTAGTCAAATTCATCTACTTAAATTAAAAAGCGTTTAAAAATATTGGTGTTTTACACACTCCTATTATATTTTAATTTTCATCATCAATGCGGCATACTATTACAAAATGGGACAGATTTTTTTTATTTTGAAGAGTTTAACGGATGTGATAATTTCTCTTGCTTGCTAACTTGATACTATTAATGGGATGTCTAACGTTAGTCCAGAATAGTTACGCTGATGTAAACTTTCCTTCTGAGTAGTAGGATTTACATCTTCAGTCGTTCTAGCTAAGAAGGTAAAGTCTTGTTAATATATTAAAGATTTTGCGTTGCATTTTCTCTACTATTCGTAGACAGCTAGCTATTAGCATTTTATGTGATTGTAGCTAACTCAGGCTAGGAACGTTATGTGGTTACACTCTTATTATTTACTACACAATACAGTAACGTACGTTTATACACAAAACAATGGTAGTTGTCTTTGCGTTACAATATGATCAAAATTATTTAAATTATTCACTTTTTGGCAGAATTGTTTGTTCCAGCCTATGGTTCCAGCTGATAGACGGAACCGAGATCTCATTTTGTTAGCATGCTGCAGAGCGAGTCCGCGCTGCCCCCTTCAGAAAGAACTGCCTAACAAATCCCATTGAAAAATATGAGGATTTTTAAAAAACGTGGCTTATTGTCACTTATACATAACAGATACACCAGAAGTCAAGATCTGCAACAAATCGAAAATGTGTTTATGTTAATTCGGGGATACAGTAGACTCACCAAGCACGACTCAGCCGTGTTAAAAACTTTAAAACACACGGCTTTGAAGTTATATTCCGAATCGACAGTTAAGGGAAACTTGAGAGAAAATTAACCTACATTGCTGAGCGACCGAGTCTTCGTTTTTTGCCGCTGTTACTGTTGTGAAAGCTGTTAGGCATTTTAGGCATAGCCATAATAATGTCTGAAACACTTTTTAATTCGTAAAATCTTTATTTTATTTGTGAAAATGAAAAAAGGACGATTTCACTGCTGTTTTCGCCTGTAAAGTTGAACTACATTGGACCAGGACCAAAAACCACTGTACCTAGAGCTGTCAAATCTGGACTACATTGTCCCAGAGAGGCTATGGACAGGATGCCCTGAAGTTTAGAAAGACAAGTCGCCCTCCACGCTTTCGTCTTGTCTAAGAAGATGTAAAAGGCCCGATAGAGGGCCATAGGTAGCAAGTGTTAACATGAGGCGCTTTTCCTTGCCAGTTTCTGAGTGCTCGCCGTGAGCATGGCAGACCGAGAGGAGCGCCGCTTCGCCGAGGTTTCCCGGGAGTCTGTCAGACTCATGGCCGAGAGTGCAGGCGTGGAGCTCGGCGACGATGTGGCCGCTCTGCTGGCCGAGGACGTGTGTTACCGGCTCAGGGAAGCCACACAGGTCAGTGCTGCACGGAAGGAAACTTTAACGTGTTGCTCAATCCCAAATCTCTAAATATGAGCTATTGAAGTGTGTGAAAATGTGTTGAAGTGCAAGTTATTTATGTACTTGTGGTATTGATGGTGTGTTGTTTTGGACCCACACAGAGCAGCTCTCAGTTTATGAGACATGCCAAGAGGAGGAAGCTGACAGTGGAAGACTTCAACAGAGCTTTGCGCTGGAGCAATGTGGAGGTGAGAGTGTCTCTCCCAGTCCGTCTGATATAACACAAACATGCTACAGAAGTCATTGCCTTCAGCTTCTTTATCCCGCTGCGTTCATCAGGCTATTTGTGGCTGCGGGGCCCAGGATGCTCTTCCTTTCCGCTCAGTGAAAGAAGGAGAGCTTTTCTTCATTGAGGATCGGGACATCAACCTGGTCGAGTTGGCTTTGGCCACCAACATTCCCAAGGGCTGTGCTGAGACCATGGTGCGAGGTATGACGGATGTATCATTGATGCTGAAAGTTTCCAGTTCATGTATTTGAATAACGAGGTATAATTTACTAATAATTTCTCCCCTTTTCTTCTCGCGCCAGTGAATGTATCGTACCTGGATGGGAAAGGCAACCTGGAGCCTCAGGGGACAGGTAAGACGGGCTCAACACACAGTAGGCAATGTTTCCCCATCTCTTTTCATTTTCAAGGAAATTAGTGTGAAGAGGCAAAAATCCCTTACTTTGAAGTAATCGGTCTTGTGAAATGTCATGCTGGTGCACATTCACATGAACGAGTTTTAAAGTCCTTTTTATAATTGGATTTGGTTTATATTGCAAAAACCTAATTCTGCACCTGAGCTAACAGGGAGGTATTCTTGTTGTGATACTGAACATTTTCCACGTACTAGATTTCCAAGTTGTGCAGCTTAGGCACAAAAACAACTCCTCGTGATATATCAACATGTACTGACTGACTGCATCCCTGACTGAGCACGTCAGCGTGACCCTGATGGAGGAGTTTCAGTGTTTGTGCATTAGTTGTCAGACCTGACTGTTGACTTGTCACAGTTCCCACAGCAGTGCAGTCCCTGTCAGACGACTTGTTGAAGTACTACCAACAGATCACACGGGCCATCCTGGGAGAGGACCCCCAGCTCATGAAGGTAAACTACTGCTGAACACAGGCAGATGTTCTGCGGGGCTAAACGATGCGTTACTTCTCATATTCTTCTTCTGTGCGTTTCAGGTGGCTCTGCTGGACCTGCAGTCCAACTCCAAGATCGCTGCCCTCTTGCCGTACTTTGTTTATGTCATCAGTGGGGTAGGTTTGTGCTTGTACATAAGTAACATTTAACCTTTAAACAAAGTTAGAATCCAAACAAACTGATTGTAGATTTTATCCTAGATCCTATTTATTCACCTTTAGATGTAAAATGTGCAAAAACTGTGTTCTCACGTTTCAGAATTACATTTAATAAATTGTTTTTCTTTGACTTCTTGATTGTCTTTTTAGAATTAAAATTTTAGAATGCAGATTTGTTAGCAGACTTTAGTTACATAAAAAGTCTGTAAAAATATATTTTTTAAATTGTATTCAACCAATTTGCTGATTGTGTGGTTTGTTTTTTTTTCTGATCAGGTGAAGTCAGTAAGCCATGATCTGGAGCAGCTCAACAGGCTTCTCCACATGGTGAAAAGCTTGGTCCAGAATCCCTACCTGTACCTGGGCTCATATGTGCGCAGCCTGGTGTCTAGTGTCATGTACTGCATCCTAGAGCCGCTGGCCGCCTCCATCAACCCACTCAATGACCACTGGACCCTCAGGGACTACGCAGCCTTGCTCCTCAGCCACATCTTCTGGTAAGAAAATCACTACTTAGACACACCGTTTATTCCTAGTGTTCAAATAATATGGGATCTAGGGATGTCACAATACCAGAAATTTAGTAGTCGATTCCAATATCGGTGAAATTCCACAAATCTCGTTGCCACAGTAAAAAACAAAACAGTAAATCCCATATATTACCATGTACAACATACTCTCCTTTAATAAAAACATTTGAACATTACAAAAACCAACTAACAGCTGTAAAATTGTGTGAGGATGTGACCATTTTCACACCAAGTTCTGACAGTTTATGCATGAAATCATCGAACACTGATACGCTTAAATATATATACGTGTGTGTGTGTGTGTGTGTGTGTGTGTGGTTGTGTATAAAATATGTGCAATATATTGCCAAAAGTTTTAGGACACCCCTCCAAATCATTGGATTCAAGTGTTCTGATCACTTCCATGACCACAGGTGTATAAAATCAACATCTAGGCTGCAGACTGCTTCTACAAACAATTGTGAAAGAATGGGTCGCTCTTAGGAGCTCAGTGAATTCAAGCGTGGTACTGTGATAAGTTGCCACCTGTGCATGTCCATTTGTGATATTTCCTCACTACTAAATATTCGACGGTCAACTGTTTGACTGAATTATAACAAAGTGGAAGCGATTGGGAACAACAGAAAGTCAGCCACAAAGTGGTAGGCCACATAAAATCATAGAGCGGGGTCAGTGCAGGCTGAGACATTCTCTGTGTTTCTCTGTGTATTTAAATGTCTTCTCCTTTTTATTATTGTCTTTTCTCTGTAGGACTCACGGTGATCTGGTGAGTGGTCTCTACCATCAGATCCTGCTGTCGCTCCAAAACGTTCTGTCTGACCCAGTGAGACCACTCTGCTCCCACTATGGAGCCGTGGTGGGGCTTCATGCTCTGGGATGGAAGGTATGTTCACTGCCTCCGTCTGGAAGTCTTGAGTTTCTGCATTAAAGTAGGTAGACGGTTATCAGGTGAAACCTAAAAATGAGAACCAGCGGCAGCTGTGGTGTTGTTACTGGAGGTCGGTTGACATAGCTCTGAGTTTTCATTCAGTGACTATTGGACGCTGCACAGCTGAATAAACTGTTATTCACTGTGTGGAGTACGTAGTGCTGGAGATGACATATTGGTAATTCAGCATACATGTTATGATGTATGTGTTAACTAGGCCTCACTTCTTGTTGCCAGCAGGTGATGTTACATAAGTTATTAATGCAGCAATACATTTAGTGGAGGTCGAGTTCAATATAAATACATTTTCATGAATGCTGGACATGATGTGTATCAAGTGTAGGCCACATAAAGCAAGTTTGATGGAAATCAAGATAGGTGCGTTCGAGATAACTGCGGCTGAGTATCGTTGACTTGATAGTCTAACCTGAGCTGCAGATGACTGCAGGGGCGGGGTATCAAAACGCCGCCGTCAAGTCGGACACATTCTACCTGCATGAGCGTGCTGTGAGCTGAGATCAATGATCAGGCAAAAGTGTGGTTCCAACTTGGTGCAACAAGATAAAAGCAACTGTGGCCTGGAGCCGCCTTGCTCCCGCGAGGTTTCAGTGTCATGTGACATGGTGATGAAAGTCGGACACACACAACAAGTCCAGAATGCATCACGTTAAGTCGGCGCTGTGCAGCGCTGCATGAAGTCAAACACACCTAATATTGGCATGAAGTAAAAATAATAATAAACTTTATTTAGACCTGACTGTTGACAACAACGTACAAAGTCACAGTATGTGAATAAAATACCACAGTGAATGATTAAATACATGAGGACCTAAAATAAAAATGATAACATGAAAATAAAAACATTAAAATTAACAAGATAAAGAAGAGATAAAACAAGAGAGTAAGACATTAAAATGCAGTTGAGGAAATGCTTTCCAATGCTTTCTAGAGCCCCGGGGCCCTGACAGCCTGGACTCGAGGAGAGACAGGAGACCCCTGCCCGAAGATCAGATCAGAAGATAAAGCTACGAAATTGTTCATAAGTAATTAAAAGATTCAAAATATTATCTAGAGTCAGGTCATAGAGAGTATTTAAAGTATCTTAAAGAGATCTTAAGATCAAACCTAAAACAGACCCAAGGTGAGAGCCAATGTGAAGAGGCTGAGGACGTGATCGTACCTCTTGGTCAGCTGAGTTCTATACAGTCTGTAGTCGTTTCAAGGTTTTTTGGTTAAGACTTGAGAAGAGGCTGTTGCATTAATGTAGGTGCGAGGAAATACAAAGTGTGTACAACAGTTTCTGCATCTCTAAAATTTTAAATAGATCTTGTTTTAGCAATAAATCGGAGGTGATGAAAACGTGACTGGACAAAGACACCAAAGATTTCTTGCAACAGGCTTGATATGCTGTGACAGGTGACCAATAGACAACACTATTTATTTTGTGATATGTTTGACACAAGCGGTTTTAAAGAGATCTGGGATAAAACCATAGACCATGAGCTGTTCAAGATTGACAGCAAATACAATCCATAACTTCAAATAAAAACTTATTTGGGATGATGTCAAGAGTTTGCTGAGTTTAGGCCTAATAATACAGATCTTAAGATTTTTGCTTACCAGACTTGAGGTGGAACTGATTAACCTGCTTGGAGGAGTTCCTAAAAGTAAAGCGACTGTAAATGTCAAAAAATGCAATTAAAATGCACGAGGGCTGACCCCCAATAGTCGAAGATTCGGTGCTTCGATGGGCGGAGCCGGATTCGACTGTCAATCTCACAGTCGAAGCTTCGCAGTGAAACGAGGATCATGCAATTTTGGCACCACCAGTTTTCTCCCAATAAGTTAATATACAGCCTGTTACAATATACATTTCAACGTTTAATGCTGTAAATAAACATGTAAAAAGAATAAAACTTTCAATAAATGTTTTTAAGTGTGTAAATAAAACCAAAATTGTAACCCTAATTCTGGGTCGTCAGTGCGTGCGTGCGTGCGTGCGTGCGTGCGTGCGTGCGTGCGTGCGTGCGTGTGTGTGTGTGTGTACAGTGGCAGTGGAGGAACACCCGCTGAAGAGACAGAGCTCCAGCTTCACTGGTGTTGTCCACTGACTTTCTGATAATTTATCACCGTTGATGAACCACACAAAGAATATTTTATCGTTTTTAAATAGCCAGCTACGTGAAATAGACCCGCGAGGAACCGCGATGTGCATGTAGTTGTCGGCAGAACGGACTGCACGCAAAACTTGCACAAGAGAGAAAAGGATCTTCAAAAAGCCTCAGTTTAGCTGGATATTTACAGTGTAAGTTGAATGAATAGAGACTGCAGCTCTGCAGCTTCTCAAGATTAAAGGGGAGCTACTGTGTTTGCCACACATGTTTTACTGACTCCTGGTAGTGATGTGTTACTACCAGTAGCCGAGAAAACAGTATATTTTTTAAGATAAGATATAGTCACATACACAATGAGGAAAAAATGTTTTCTTACAATTGAATGATTTTTTTCTATTTCGTGAGTTTCCAGGCTTTCCTAGCCCCTCAAAAATGTGATTGATTTGGAAAAATATAAATTATAAATATTAACTTGAGTTACAATAGGGCCTTCACACCACTCAGTGCTCAGGCCCTTATTATTCTTTGAAAACTGTGAAATCTAAACTGGAGACAGGCTCCATGTGACGGGTGTATGTCCTTGCTGTAAATGGTTTTATCGTTTTCAGTACTCCACTGTATGCTCTCTGTCTTCTGTTTGTCTTAATGCTGTCCTCTCAGGACCCCTCAGTAATCTGTATGAGAATAATCCCTGTTTATCTGTGTGTGCTTTTGTTGGCAGGCTGTTGAGAGAGTGCTCTTTCCACACCTTCCTGCCTACTGGGCCAACCTCCAGGCTGTGTTGGATGACTACTCAGTTTCCAATGCCCAGGTCAAAGCAGATGGACATAAAGTCTACGGAGCCATCCTGGTCAGTAGGGGTGGGAATCAACAGAGGCCCCACGATACGATATTATCACGATACGATTTATTATTGCATTATTGCGATTTTAAACATATTGCGATGTATTGGAATTTATTACTGTATCGATTTTATTTTTTTCCCCACACCCCTACTGGTCAGTGCTGCAGTCCTTTCATAGGGTGACCAGCTACAAGACTGCTATTTGTTGTGATTTTTGGAAACATTCTAGTCATTTTTTTTGGTGTTTTGCAATGACTTTACTTTTATCTCCTGTGCCATTTCATTAAAACAAACCGCCACCCCCGCCTCTTAAAAAACCCTGTCATTCCCCATCTGATTCAGCCAACCTCCTGTCACTCCCTATCTCATTTAAACTCCTGCCATTCCTCATTTAAATCAAACTCTTGTCCCTTGTTCAAAATGTCATTCCCTATGCTGCAGAATTTGTAAATGTAAAAAAAAAACTGGCACTGAGCTGAGCGACTATTTTATGGTATTGGACATAGCAAAGATGGTATTTCTCGTCCCAGCAAATTCCAAAGTCAGTACATTTAGGTGATGCTTTTATCCAAAACAACAATTGCTTTGTCAGAGGTTGCACGCCTCTGGAGCAACTAGATGTTAGGTGTCTTGCTCAGGAACACATTGGTGGTCACAGTGGGGAATTGAACCTGGGTCTCTCACACCAAGGGCATGTGTCTTATCCACTGCTCCATCACCACCCGTAGTACTGTGCAACCATTTCAGGCAAAAGAAAGAATGCTTTCAAAAATAGACATGTTAAAGAGGTGGTATTCTGCTTTTTGGCTTTTCCCCTCTCCTTTATTGAGTTATACCCTTTTTGTGCATGTAACAGGTTTGCAAAGTGAAAAAGCCCAAAGGGAGTTCCCATCTCCCACAGAAACTCTGCTCTGAACTGAAACAGCTTGTTTGTAGTCCAGCCGTTTTCTTTTCATCCCTGTGACGTCAAGGGATGAAAGCAATATTTGGTGTGTCCACCCTTTCCCTTCAAAACATTCTTCTGTAATTTAATTTAAAAATGAAACTTTGATATATTCTATATTTATTACAAATACGGGCCTTTTTGTTTTAATCTTGATGATTAGGGCTTACAGCTCATGGAATTCAAAAATCCATATCTCAAAATATCAGAATAAAGAATATATAATACAGAAATGTTGACCTGGGAAGAGCCTTTAATCTCTGTCTGGTTCAGTTCACCCATCCCAATCATGAGGAAGACTTCTGACCTGACAGTTGTCCAGAAGACTCTCACTGACTTCCTCCACAAGGAGGGGAAGCCACAGAAGGTCGCTGCTGAAAGGGCTGGATCACAGAGTGCTGGATCAAAGCATGTTGATGGAAAGTAACTGGAAGGTTTAAGTGCACAAGCAACATGGATGACCGCAGCCTTGAGACAATTGTGAAGCAAAGCCAATTCAAGAACTTGGGGGCGCTTCACAAGGAGTGGACTGATGCCGGAGTCACTAAATCAAGAGCCACCAGGCACAGGCGGGTCCAGGAGCTACAAGTGATGCAGTCCTAGTGTCAAGCCACTCCTGAACCAGAGACCGCTTCAGAACTGCTTACGTGGGCTAAAGAGAAACAGAACTGGACTGTTGCACCAAAATCCTATTTCACTTTTTGACTTGAATTACGGGAAGTCATTTGAATATTAAGGTCCCAGAGTCTGGAGGACGAGTGGAGAGGAACCGAGTCCAAGTTGCATGAAGTCCAGAGTGAAGTTTCTATAGTGAGTGAAGATCTGGGGTGGCGTATCATCTACTGGTGTTGATCCACTGTGTTTTCTTCACCTGCCCGCAGTTCCAAAACCACTAGGAACTGGTTTGCTGACCATGGTATTACTGTGCTGGATTAGACAACTCAACTGTACCACGAGCAAAATGAGAGACACCGGACCAACAATGCAGACGAGCTGAAGGCCACTATCAAAGCAACCTGGGCTTCATAACAGCTCAGCAGCTACAGGCTGAGTGTCTCCATGCCACGCTGCATTGATGCAGTAATTCATGCAGAAGGAGCCCTGACCAAGTACTGAGGACACAAATGAACCTTTTAACATTTAAGAAGGTGGATATTTCTGTATTATACATTTATTCTAATATTTTCAGATATGGATTTTTTAGCTGTAAGCTAAAGATTAAAACAAGAAAGAGAAAAGGCCTGAAATATTCCACTTTATACGTAATGAATTTACAATATATGAAAGTTTCACTTTTTGACTTGAATTACGGGGAAAAAATAAACTTTTTCTTTGAGGTGCACCTGTATATACAGCTTCTAATAAAGTACAGTAAGCTGAGCTAGTGTGTTTATAATCTAATGTCCACATATAACATGTCGTGAGCATCCTGTGTGTAGTGTGTGTGTATAGGCCCTCAAGTGGAGCTGGGTAATAAACAATAACAGTAATAATCGCAATATCATTTTCCTCACTAGCAATATAACAAATGTTCAATACATTTTTTGATTTAATTAATTTGAATCAAGAACAAATTAGCACTAAATTTTTCTATTAAGATGTTTTATTTTGTTGAGGAAAAGGGACTAGAAAAAAGATTTTACGTAATTTTACTCATGCATATTTGTTGAAAAAAGATTTGTCACAATAGTTTGAAATGTTCTGCCTCAGATTTGTGAAGTGAGTTGTGAGTCATACTAGCTGGCTAGTATCAAAGTAAGTTCATGATTATATGCATGTCGACCGGTTAACCCTACAGCTGCTAGCACATCGGCCTCACTTTGTGTTGCTGTGCATTACCACCACCACTCCACTAGATGGCGCTGTCGTGAGAGAACTACGGTTCTAGAACTGCAGTCCCGGGATTGCGGGGGTCCTGAAAATGCAGCCTCCGGTACTTCAGCTACAAAATATTGAACGCACCTAATGTCAGTATGTTCTCCTATGTGTCCTGCAGGTGGCAGTGGAGCGCCTGCTGAAGATGAAGGCTCTGTCTCTGTCTCAGCCAGCTGAGGGGGGCTCCAGCGGTCAGCCAGGGTCTGCTGTGGGTGCCATGGGTTACAGGGTAAGCTCCCCTGGCCTCAGCCCCCCTCCAGAGCCTCTGTCAGAGGCTGTCCTGGGAATCGCCAGCCACCTTCAGGCAGGCGGGGCCGGCTGTCCCTGGGAGGAGTGGACCCCGGTCCCCCTCCCTGCCATGTACTGCGAGCTCTACTCCTTCTTTGGAGACAGCCTTGCTGTCAGGTTTAGTACAGGACCTGGGTTTGGCAGCTACCCTCCTTTTACCTCATCCCAGCTCAGTGATGCTAGGAAGGACCCCCCTGGCCCCGCCTCCAACCCCGACACCACCCGAAAGATGCCACAGCTGACTGCCAACCTCAACATCAGCCCCAGGGAGGACGGGAGTCCTCGAACCGATCCGCCCCCACCAAGCCTGGCAGCTACTGGATCAGGAAGGTAATACAAACCAAAGCAACCCTCCTTGATAACTAACCTTTGGGGTCAGGTTATGGGGTACTGAATGTTGCTGACTGTCTTTCCCCTTCAGGTCCCTGGCTCGCTCGTCCTCCTCTGTGCAGCGCTCCAGATCTTCCTCGTCGCGTTCGGGCCAGCGCTCGGCAGGTCTGTCTCGTGATGTTTTTCCCAAAGCGCGCTTCACCTCTCCTCAGACGGGACCTCCGGCGTTCTCCTTCCTCATCGGCGGGCGGCAAATGGGTCGTCGTTGCCAAGGCCGCCGTCCCTTCCAGACCACGTTTGCCCCGACTCCTCCTCTTTCAGCCGTCCCACCACGTGCCTATGCCCACAAACTGCCTGTCATCGGCAGGGTGGGCAAGCCTGTTCGCCGCTGGTCATGTTCCCATTACTCACTTCATCTGCCTCTCTAGAGAAGAGGCTCTCTGAAATAAGCTTCAGACTGCATTACTACAAAGCAGCGTTCGCCTACAACAGACTTTAACAGGGCCAAAATCATATTTTTCAGCTTAAGCTGCCAATAATTGGTGATTGATGATATTTTCATAGTTGATTATCAAGGTGAACAACAAAAGGCCAGTCTAATGGATTAAAGCGACTACGTGTAGTAGTTAAAGATTTCTGACTTTGGCTCAGTTTTCATAAAGAATGTTTCTTTTTTCTACAAACAAAACTTATTTAATTTATTGGAAAAATGCACACACGCTTGTGTTGACCACAACAATGAAAACAGTATAGTGGTTATTTAAGGTTTTGGATGTGCTGCAAATTAAGAGGCCACAAATTAATGGACATTTAGCACAGTACATTAAACACAACAAAATTAAGAAAAACATTTGTCAAGATATACGAGAACAACAAGCACTGTACACACCTAACACACAAGCAGATATGAAGCAAGTCACACAGAACGACGAAAGACTAATGTTGGCTGATTCCATGATACCTGTGTTTTCCCTATTTGCAGCATGTTTCTTTATCAATTTCTGTTTCTTAAAGGGCATTTCTGCAGTGTTTCTTCCTGAATCGGATGTACAGTATGAGTTGTCAAAGTGGTGAAGATGTTTTCTTTACTTGCTCATTTGTTTTGCCACTTTAGGGCAGAAGAAACACTTGGGGGACAGCGCATTGACTTATCACTTTCTAAGCTGATGTGGTGAACCTGATAGCAGACAGTTGCTTACAGCACATCCAGCAGATACAGAGCAACATTTGGAGATGCTTCAGTGTCCACTTGGTGAATGTTAGTCCATTATTCACTGTCTTACAGCACCTTTTCTCCTCTTCGCCACCTCTGGCTCTTTAGCTGCTAAATGCTCCACCATGTTCACCAGCTAGTCTCTGTGTACAACCACTGAGGTGTTTTCTCCTATTCTCCTGCTGCCTTTTAGATTATCAGGGCAGCAGCTGTGTTGGATTGTAGTTGTATTTCTACAGTAAAATGATAATACTCATATTAAAGCACCACTTCATTCCAAATGGTTATTTTAGGGCTGTAACAAACAATCGTTCTCATTATTTGTCAGATTAATCATTAAGTCCAGAAAATAAAGAAAAGTAGCCATCTCAATATTTAGAAATTTTTTACAGTCAAAAAGACAAATATGTTGACTTTAAAGTGATGTAAGGAAGAGAAACGGCAAGTGCTCCTACTTGAGAATCTGGAACCAGTTAATGTATTTGACATTTTTGCGATGTGCTTTGATACATGATTGAAAAGATAAATCAATCAGGAAAATTGTTGATTAGTTTTGTTCCTACCCGTTGTAGGACTGTACTCATTAGAATTAGCTGAAGGCCTCTCATAATCACCTGATGTATTACTTTGGTCAACTCCACAGTGATGAACACTGTAGGAAATGGTTGACATGGACATTGGCCTCACATTTCAGCAAAGCAGTGTATCAGTCTAAGCCTTCTGTAGCATCGTTCAGTTCCTCTGCTGAGTGACATTAATAGGATCCTACACATGGATGAAAAGCATGAGACAGGTAGAGTGGCAAATTCCAAAGTACTGAGACAGAATACCTGCTGAGGACAGTGGACAGGAGGTGTCTTGTACAAAGCTGCTGTTTTCATTGAATAAAAAAATATCTGTTTTGAAACCTTTATTTGAGCCTTTTGAATCCAGAAATGCCTGACTAGCCTCTGTTATTCACTTGTTTTTGACTGATCTCTCTTTGACTGGGCCCGTGTCTTCCACCTGCTCTACCTTTCTAAATATTTAAAGCCTACAGCTTTCAGTATCTGGTTGCAGTCAAGAGAAACAGCATTCAGAACCAACAATGGCCCAGCTTGTGTCTGCACTGGGACTGTTCTGCCAGGTTCACGCGTTTGCCTGCCTGGTTGTCTGCTACCTGCTCTTCATCGTGCTGGGAGGTCTGGTGTTCACAGCAGTGGAGAAGCCGGTGGAGAAGGAGCTGAGGGCCGAGGTGGAGGAGCTGCGACGTTCCTTCCTGCTGGAGAACCCGTGTGTGGCGGAGAGCCGGCTGAGCGAGCTGCTGGGGAAAGCTCTCTCTGCGCACCGCAGCGATGTAGCTGTCCTGAAGGCTGACGCTGATGAGAGACAGTATGATTTCACATCGTCACTCTACTTTGTCATTGTCACTCTCACCACTATGGGTAAGCTGCAGTCCAGACATTTGTAGATCTTTTTATTATTACTTATTCATTATTTATCACAACGTCCTAGGTGACTTCTTCAAATTGCTTCTTTAGATTCACTTTTAATGCTAAAAATACTGCACTTATATAGTTCTATACAGTGTCTCACAAAAGTGAGTACACCCCTCACATTTTGTAAATATTTGATTATATGTTTTCATGTGACAACACTGAAGATGAAGAAGAGAGTTCTTTGCCATGACATGCCATGATGAACTTCCAGTGACCAGTATGAGGGAGTGTGATAGCAAGAACACCAAATTTAACACACCTGAGACCTTGTAACACTAATGAGTCACATGACACCGCCGAGGGAAAAATGGCTAATTGGGCCCAATGTGGACATTTCACTTAGGGGTGTCCTCACTTTTGTTGCCAGCGGTTTAGACAAACAACGGCTGTGTGATGTGTTATTTTGAGTTATACAAGCTGTACACTCACTACTTTACACTGTAGCAAAGTGTCATTTCTTCAGTGTTGTCACATGAAAAGATAGAATCAAATATTGACAATAATGTGAGGAGTGTACTCACTTTAGTGAGATGCTGTATAATTCTAGTCTTTTGACCACTCGAAGAGCTTTGTCACGTGTCACATTCACACACTCATGACAGTGGCTCACATGCAAGAGAGACAAACATTCTCTCGCACACCGACGGCTCTGCCATCAGGAGCAGATTTAGGCTTCAGGACTCTTCAAGATGCACCACCGTGGCCCAGGATGCGCCAACGGCCCGAACCCCAGCAACCAAACTTACAAAAAATGAAATGTTACTGAAGAGTGAAACGGTACAATTTGGGCACAATAAGAAGACCGGCTCTCACACAGTAGCTATGACTCAGTTCCCTTTGTTTGTACCAAAGAGCGGCTGAAAAGAATCGTATCGTTAGTTAACTTAACGTCACTCCTCAGTAGGACCTTCCTGCAGACCTCTTCCTTCTCTTATTTCTCAGGCTCTGACTCCTACACCCCAAAATCGGATGAGGCCAAGCTCTTCTGCATCTTCTACTGCACCCTGGGGATCCCCCTCACCCTGTTCATCCTCACCCTCCTCTCCAACTTCCTCCTCCCTGTCGTCACCCACATTCCAGTCTCCCACCTGCACACGTACTGGGGTTTGCCCTACACCCGGGCCGCCCTCTTGCACATCAGCCTCCTCTCGGTGCTTGTCCTCTTCCTCCTTTTCCTCCTCCCCGCCCTCCTGGTCTGTATGGTAGAGCCCGACTGGAGCTTCCTGGATGCTCTTTTCTTCTGCTTTGTCATCCTAAGCACCGTTGGACAGGGAGGAAACTCTCTGGGGAGAACCTGGGGCCCAACGGCCAAGGAGACACTCAATCTCCTCACCACATGTAAGTGGAGTGCTGAAGGTACTTCCATACTTTACAAATCCAGGTTGCTAGTGAAAACAAACAGTGGGGTGTATGTCTGGCTTTGAAGCTCCAGTTCTCAATATTTCTGTTATCGTATTATTATATTAATGGATCAAATAATGATGTGAAACGTGTCACTAATAGTGTTGAACTATCACCAACTTTGCGCTTTCAGGGCACAGCCAGGAGTTGATACTCAGGCCTGGAATCCAAATTCCTCTTTTCAACAAGCCACCAAAAATGGCTAATATGTTCTTTTTTTGCTCTTTGTTTCGTTGTAGAACATAAACTCCACCATCCTAACAATGAATTATTATTAAAAAACTGATTTAAATAATTGGATAGACTTATTAAAATGACCCTAAATATGCACGTCGACAGACTGGACATTTATTTTAAAATCCAATCCCTCTCCACAGGTTACCTGCTGGTGGGCCTGGTGGTGATCATTACTTTTAAGGATACTGTCCTGCAGGTTCCCAGGGTCTGCGCAGTGATGAGGCTCTTCTCTGGCCTTCAGTATGCAGAGCTGGAATGCGCCCACATCAGTGAGCTGACTATGAGCGAAGACAGCTGCGAGGACGAGCCTCCGTATTCACAGTCCATCTGCACCATCTCCTCCACTCCACTGGAGCTGAGCAGCCCCTGTTCAGACCGACCCGCTGTTTTCAATTATGCACAACCCATTTAAATACTTAAATACTCTAAATAGTCCATATCTGTCCGATATTATCAAATCTATGGAGTCAAATATTTGCCACCAGGCAGGTTCTGAGTTTGTGTGTGCGTTGAACACAATTTAACTGCTGCTGGATTTAAAATAATGTTATAAACACACAAAGTTAGGGGATGCAACATCAAAACAGTTAGCTAAAAGAGGCTAAATGCTCTGTAGAGCTAAGAGGGGCTGCAGAATTGGTGATAATTCTCTGTGTGTTTGTCACTTTGAGAGAATTCCTTCACGCTGCGCATAATCAATTGACCCCATTGTTAAAATAAATCTTTTAGTGCAGTTTTAAATTTGTTTAAAATGTTTTTCTTCTGTTGAGTAACTCTACCCATGATTCCACTCCCTCTCTGGTGGAGCAGATGACAGCACCGTAGTGACTATGTCCTATACTTAGCTGCTACTGGTTGCTAATTTGTTTGGTGAATTCTTTTTAATGTGTACTCAGAAAAACGACGTCCAGTCTTTTCCTCTACTTTGCAGTTTAGGGCGTTTATTTCCTGCGTCCTTACAGCGTCCACTTCCAATAAATAATAAGTCATATAAAGTCAAATAAAAAACATAATCCGAGCACAGTTAAAAACTGTTTGCTCCTCTTCCTCAATTAACAACACCTGTTTGCATCACTACAGGAACTTAAATAACCTGAGGCCAGCATCGGCCTTAACTCCGCAATCTAATGACATGCCCCCTGGAGGAAAACAAATATGGCTCCTACAAGTGCTGTCTATGGTCAAGAAATATTGTCCTGTCGCTACAGAGCACATGGAGCTGGTATTGACACAAAAACATGAACACAAACATGAACACACTTTCCAAATGAACCTGCTCCTCAATCCCTATTACCATAACAAAACTATTACTACAAATAAAACCAGATATGTTGTTTGCCTAATTGTCCCTATTGCTTTACATCATAGTGAAACACATTTCAGCTACACTGATGAAACTGATGGTTGTGTTTGCATTGTCGTACTGGCAGGAAAACACCTTCCTGAGGCTGATTTGCTTCTTAAATTCTCTTTTAAAACTTTTAGAAATTTAGACATTTCCCACACACAGTATGCTTGTTTCAACACTTTTCACTGGAATTCCAATGCTTTTATTGTGTGAAATATTGTTTCAATGGCAGCACCATGTATCAAATGTAAATGTTATAGATCGTTTATACATCACTTTATATACAGTATATTTCTCACAGAAACAATGGAGGGTACTGTAATTTTTATGTTGGCTGGAGGTAAGGTGGCTCAGGGAGGGCAGCAGACTGTCTTTTATTTATGTCTCTTCTTGTATATTTTATTTGAACCCGTCTTTGCATTTTACACAGCTCAGAAAAATCAAGGGAATACTTAATCATCACAGTGTAACATCAAGTCTGCAAAACATCAAGGATATGAACCTGTCCAGTTAGGAAGCGTAAGCGATTGTGAATCAGTGTCACCTGTTTTTGTGCAAATGAAGGTAGGCTACAACAGGACTGGAGAGGCAACTGCAAGACAACCCCAACAAAAGGAATGGTTCTGCAGGTGGTGGCCGCAGACAGTTGCTCTCTCCTTATCCTTCCTGACTGATTGTTCTCTAGTTTTGCGTTTTTCTAGTGTCCTTGTCTCTACTGGTAGTGTGAGACTGTACATGCAGCCCACGCAGGTTGCACAGGTAGCCCAGCTTTTCCAGCATGCAAGAAAGTTTGCTGTATCTCCCAGCACAGACTCAAGCGAGGAGATACCAGGAGAAGGGCCGTTGCGCGAAGAGAGCTGCCCATGCAGCTCGAGTAGCGTTCTCCAGAAAACACCAGAAATAGTATGTCTGCCATTGGCGCCCTGTTCTCTTCACACTTTAGAACATGTGACAGATGTGAAAGAGTCTGGAGACGAAGTGCTGAACGTTATGTTGCCTGCAATATCACCCAGCATGACTGTCTGGGGACTGTTACGTCCTAAGGTCTAGGGTTAACCTGGGTGCAACACAGGGTGTGGCTCCCCACTCTTCCCACTCCCAAGCAAGGCCAGAACAAAGGTTTTTATTTTTCACTCAGAGTTGAGCAGTGCCCCAAACACTAAATTTGACCTAAAACTTTCCTAAACCAAAATGTAAAAAGACAAAGCTCTAATCTAGGCTTCTTTTACCAACCAGGCCTTTCCCTTTCCAGATAGAGAAAACAGGATCTGACTGAGAGGGATAAAATGCATGATTGTGACAAATGGGGGCAAAAATGAGTGTTCAACTATAAACTATTTTGTTCATCGAGATCTGATGTGTGATGTAAGTGTCACTTAATGTTTTTAAACAGAGTGGTTACATAAATAGTTAAAAATAAAAAAGACAACTTTAACCTGC